GCCATTGTGGGTAGCTCCCTGGTGGGGGATCAAACTCATGCTGCAGTGTATGCAGACAGCTTCACAGTGCTGCGACTTAACCCCTTGCACCACCAGGGAGGCCCAGACAGATTTTTTAAATGGAATGGGGGGCACGAATTATGCAAGAGGCAAAGCCTTTCTAGTCTGACTCCTCCTGGAAAGTGTTCTAAACTGAGGCAACTACTTCCGTGCTTTTGTCAGTAGAAGGTTCTAGACACACATGTGCCTTTTCTTGGCAAGCTGGGGCCATGCTCAGAGTTTTTCATTAATGAGAAGCTGGTTTGGTTCACGGGCTGGTTTCTTAGATCTCTAAAATGTAGGGATGCCACTTCTGCATATAGGGTGGCCTCCCTTCTCATCTGCAGCCTCCAAGGCATGTAGGCTGGGAAACAGCTCCCCACACCTGAGAACTGTTTACTAAACTAAGCACAGGGCCTTTGATCAAGGGGGCTGATGCTGGGCTGGGAGGCCCCTCCTTACCCTCTGGTGCCTGCTCTTTTGGGGGTCCTGCTCAGGTGCATTCTGGAATTTTCCAAACCTGCTCAGCCTGCTCCCTACTCCTGAGACCACGAGCCTGGCAGCTGGGGAAAGGCTGGCAATGCTGGGGAAGCTGTTTCCAGGTGGCCGCCATGTCCACAGCGAATCTAGAGTCGCTGTTACCTTACACCCTCTGCACAGACCGGGCACCCATTCTGCCTGGAATTAGTCAGAATGTGAAATGAGTTAAAATTTAAAAATCAGTCAGCCTTCACCGCATGTCATCTTTCTCCTCTGAATAAAGTCCTTTACTTCAGAAAAAGAATTTGCAAACCACAGCAGGTTTCATAGGTCAAAATAGAGATTTTTATTTGCCAACATAAAGCAACCACATTAAAAAAAAAAACGTAAAGCAAAAACAAAAACGACCCACCATCTTTGAGAACACGGCTGCCAACGCGGATGACAGGGTGGGGGTGAACGCCTTGGTGTGATTTAAAATGCAGCGCTGGGAAGGACCCAGCAGGGCCCTCACGTGCTCCCCACCGTCCTGGAAGGCAGGGAGGTTCAGCGGCTTTGGACTTGATGTGAACCCAGATAACACACACATGTTCCGAGACAGACATTCTACCCCGGCACTGCCTGCTTTCCCAGAAAGCTTAATTTATTGCACCTTCATGTTTTACAATCACAAATGATATGACAGGAGTGGATGTGGGCTCTCTCATGCGTTTCATGAACAGATCATTTAAACAATAAAGATAGTGTGCCTTTAACACCAGAACCCACTTAGGCGGCCTCTACACGCACCCATCAAGATGTCACCTGACCCACCTGGAATCACCAGCTCAGCGGCTTACAGCCGGTCAGAAGCAGAGTAATGTCACCAGGTCTTCAGGGGCAAATGTGAGGGTTTGCCCAGTGACCGTGGCTTAGGGAAGAGTAAGTACAAAGATTTCGGCTGATGGCTCCAGCGGGGTGCTGGGGAAGCCTGGGGCACCTGGTGCTGGTGCCCCCTTGAGAGAGGAGCTCAGTGAGAACCACACCTCCCCTGGGCTTGCACGCTCTGGCATCCGAGAGGGCTGGTCTGGGCTTGGAATGGAGGGAAAGTGTGCTCCTTCCTCCAAAGGCACTTGACATTTTTAATGCAGGGTACTTGACATTTTTCCAGCTACTTAGATGCTCAATAAATTCTGTGAACATCACTGGTTCCTAAAAACCACTCAGCCACAGACAAGAGTGAATGGACAACTTAGCATCCCTTGAGCTAAGCTCTTCTCGAGAAAGAGACACCTCAGTTCTAAAAAACTTTCCAAATGGAGAAGATCTGAGGGGTCACAGATCTGTGTGGAGAACAAGGGGGCACAGCTTGGGGGGCATAAGAGCTGGAATCTGGGGAAACAGCCTTCCCAAAGTTCCAGAGGCCATGAGCTGGTGGTGTCTGTTGCCCAAAAGCCCAGAGCTGGAAATAGGGGTTCCCAGCTGTGCTTCTGGATGAGGTGTGAGTGCACCTCCATGTGTGCAACGCCCCCCCCTCCACACACCACACACCTTCCTCTGTCCACTTCTTCCTCCCCAGTAAAACTTCTAGAATATGCACAGTGGCCACTGTATCTTTGTCCTCCAGCAGAAAGAGCCAGAACTGCTCACCTGAGGGGCCTCACTTGCAGACCCTGCCCTCTACCTGCTTACAAGGAGAGGCAGCCAGCCTGTCCCCCTCTGTCCCCTGGCTCTGCCTCTACTGACGCTCAGTCCTGACTGATCAACGCCTATGGGAGCTGAAGACTCCCTGCTGGGAGTGGGCAGAGGAAACCAGTTCCACAGGCCATGCTCTGGAATGTCACCTTCAGCTCGCAAACCAGATGTCAAAGTAGCCACAGCCCAGGGCCCACAGCTGAGGCAGAAGGAAGATTCCATGGTGCAGCTAGAGCTACCTGTCGCCGGTTCAGTACCAGACTGGCCACTCACCGACATGCAGGCTGCTGTCCTTCTCCGTGCTCTGCGTCTGAGGAGTCAGCGTCTGAGAACAAGGTCACAGGTCCACAACGCAGGCCTTGAAGAGTCAGGGTCACCTTGCAGACCCTCGGCTAGGTTTGGGCCTCTCTGTCTCTTTCATTGGAACAGGAGAGGGTGTTGCGGACCTGGGTCCTGGCTGCTACCTCAGAAGGGAGCCCAGACCCTCTGGGGAAACTGAGGCCCCTCTCTGTGATTACTGTCTCTTATCTGGATTAGGCAGCCAGGTACCAACCTGTGGGCAGCTGGGATGTTACCATGACCACAAAGAGGCAGGTCCTGAAGGGCGGCTGAATTGGCCAACTGTTCTAGAAGGCTCTGGCTACTCTGCTGTCAGATTGGTTTTTCGAGCATGAGCTTTTGTGTTTTAATTTCCTTTTCAAAACAAATTCTTCCTCCTTCTTACTTGGACAGAGGGAATTTTTCTTGTAATTGAAACTGAGGGAGGCATGAGGGCTATTAAGTGCTTGGAATCCGGCCCTTTGCAGGAGGTGCCCGAGTGGCTGATGATGGGAGCCACCTGTGGGCAGGCCCCCCACGTGTCCCCTCGAGGCCTTCCTACCTCTGGCAGCCTCAAAACCTGACCATTTAGCATTTCCTGCTCTGCATCCCCTAAAAGTTGTATCTGGTAATTCATCCCATTACTTGTTTTACTGGTTTTAGCTGGTCTTACCCAGGCACTAGACTAAGGAGAGTGAGTTTTGATGGGAAACATCCTTACTATAAACAAACAAAAAAGAGGCCAGAAGTGAGTCTTCTGAGGGGGCTGGTATCAGGTGCAAGGATGTCAAACAGGTGTTTTCTCATATGACAAATGTGAGTGATTGGTGACCGGGCTGGGGTGCATTTGCCAGGACCCAGAGGTCCGGCAGAGCTGGGTGAGGGCACGAGCTCGGTGGTCAGCTGAGGATGTCTGTTCTGGATGCAGCAAGTGGCGTAGTGGACCACGTGCCTGTGCACAGCCTCACCACCTCACCTGACCTATGTGGAGGGTGACATGAAGACGGGAGAGAGGAGAGCAGAAGGACCCCCGCCCCCATTAGCTGACTTCCTATGAGATGGAATCAGGACAGGATCCCCACTGGGCCAGGGACACAGGAGTGAAAGTCACATCCATAAGACTTCACAGGAAGCACTTGGGTCCCAGGATTCACAGAGCAGGGACCTTCCTGCCCCCCAGCCCAGGCCCGCTGAGGTCTCTTGGCTCCCCCTCTGGGGAGTTACAGTAGGCAAGAGGTGGGGAGAGGTAAGAATTTATACTAATTCCTAGCCAAACCCACCAATCCAAAGACACCAGTAGGGGAGCAACACATTCTTCCCATGAATCCTCATTCCTGGCGAGTAACGGTGTCATTCATTGTAAACTTGCAGCTTCTGAGACCCGCACCCAGTTTGCAGGCACAATGCACCCAAGTGTCCAGGTGTAGGCCCTCCTCTGCCCTCTGCCTGTCATTCACCTTGGCTGCCAGGCTGCAAAGGGACCCCAGCTGCCTTCCCCAGAAACTGCCCGGGGACGAGCATCCTCTGACTCCTGCTCCCTGCTGGGAACACCAGCAGCTGCCGAGGCAAAGCAATTGATAGCGAGTTGGAAGTGGGTCCCAGCACCAGACCCCATGTCCTTTGTTTTCGGGGCGGAAGGGGAATTATGTGTTCTCTGGGGATTGAGTGCAAGCAGCAAACCACTGCTGCACTTTCCACTGGGGCCGCTGACACCAGCCAGGGGCTGGCGCGTCCCAGGAGGACCCAGAGGCGCCAGCTCCGAGGTGGGTGGAAAGGCCGGCCTCCCTGAGCCTGGCAGGCGACAGAACAGGGGCCACCGCAGGGAAGCTGATGAGCCAGCCTCCTGCACCCCCTGGCCAGCAGAGACAGAGCTGCCTGCGCCCTGAAACCCACCCCAGCGGCTGCCAGGGCTGCAAGAAGCTCTCCTCCCAGGACTCTCGGGGCTCACCAACCTGGGTCCAGATCCCACGTCTGCACGGCCGGCGTCTCTATCTTTAGCCTCAGCTTCTGCTTCTTTAGAAGTAGAGGCAAAGTAGTACCAAGCCCTGAGTGGTGGTCAATAAAACATGGCTTCTCGTGCGCCTGGCCTAGGCCAGACACCCGCAAGCGCGAGACCCACGTGTTCTTTCTTTCTGGGTCCTTGTCCCTCTGCCTCCTGCTGCTGACACCTCAGGGGGCTCCCAGCCTCCCCTCCCAGCCGACCTTTACAAACACCTCCCCGCGACATGTGCCTTTCTGCTCCGAGCACAGACTGAGGACAAAGGGCAGGGAGCGGCCAGCTGGGGATGGCCGGGGGCGGCTCTGACCTTGCTCCCCAGGCTCCTCTCCCCTCCCCACTTCCCCCCCATCTCTCCTCCTCCTCCTCCTGCCCCATCCGCTCCCTCCCCTCCTTTGCTCTTCCTCTCACACACCCACCGCGCACCCACCGCGCACACGCCTCCGGGCAGGGCTAGTCACACCTCTGCCAACCTCTCACACTGGGGGCAGAGGCGGGATAAACACAGGCAGCGCCCACTGCTGTGCCTGATGGCACTTCCAGGCTCTTGGTCGTGGCTGTTCCAGAAGCTAGAAAGTCATAAAAATAATTGCACGTGCCTTAAGCAAAGAAGAATACACTTGACAAGCACCAGTGAATAGCTTGTTATATATTACAACTGTATTTATACGAAAGTCATGAAAATATCAATTTTCTTTTTTAAAAAAGGTATGCAAACAAGCAGATTCTATGGTATTATTATCAAAGTTTAAAAAATATAGAGACAACCCCCACCATCCCCAGGCCACAAGGCACAGCTGCTCCCTCCCCACAGGTAGCACACCTGTCAGCAGGTAGCACACCTGACAGCAGGTAGCACACCTGTCAGCAGGTAGCACACCTGATAGCAGGTAGCACACCTGACAGCAGGTAGCCTGCTCTTCTTTAGGAAGCTACTGGTATGAGGGGGTTGGGCAGGGCACCACCAGGGGGCAGTGGTGACCGGGGTCAACTCTGGACTTGCTCTCTTGCTGTGTGGCCCTGGGGACGTTAATTCCCCTCTCTGGGCCTCAGCCATCCAGCCTATGGAGGGGCAGAGCGGGAGTGGCATCACCTTCCAGGTCTGATGGCAACCAGGGAGCACCTGGGCACGACTGCTAGGCCCGGTTTCCAGGGAAGTGGTCACTTGTGGGGACACCGGCCGGAGGCTTGACTTCTCAATAGGCAAGAGGAGCCTGGGTCCCGGGTCAGCGCCCAACACTGTCCTCAGCAGTTCCTGCCAGAGGCCCGGCTTCTCCTTCCTCTCTGCAGGGGCCTAGGGCAGGGCTGGGGCTAGACAAGGGGGTGGGTGAACTGAAGGCAGCCGGGAGGGCTCCGGGTCGGGCCGACTCTTCCCGGGCCCTCAGTTTCCCCTTGGTGTAAAGGGCCTTTCTGGCTCTACCACCTCTTGAATCCAAAGGCCTGAAGAATCCCTTCTTGGCCTCCTGGTTGCAGCTGAACAGAGAACCTCGATTTGTAAAGAGCAGGCACCACGCATTTTCTTTAAAAGGAAACCATCATGTTGATGTAGTGATCCAGTTATAAAGCACTTAGGACCCTTTGGAATCCCCAGGAGGCGGGGACGTGTGTCCAGCCTCAGGGCGCTCCCCGGTGTGTCAGGCCTCGCTGGCCTAGACCTGGGTTTGGGCCCTGGGCCCCTGGTGGGGACGTGCTTGGCACAGAGGACCAGCCTCTTCCCAACATGGAGGGTGAGGCCCTCAGGAGCTGCTCCATGTCTTGGGCCCTTGTTCCCTGGTCCCTGGTGGGGCAGGCACCCACCTCGTGTCCCTTCAGGGGGAGTCGCTGGCGATGCACACTCAGCCCGATAGTGGGGAGGCACAGTCTCCCTGACAGCCGGGCTGCGGCTGTGGAACGCTGACCACCGAGTCTGTCACCTCCTTTCTCCCACAGCAGAACGATCCAAGCAGGGTGTGACCCTGTCCTGGAGCCTCGGCGGGGGGCTTGGTCTGCACTGAGCAGTGGGGTGCAGGCCCTTCCATTGTGCTTCTGCAGGGCTGAGCTGCCCTCTGCCTGTCCTCCCTGGGTGTCGCTCTACTTTTCCTGCCGTCACTGGGCCTGCCTTCATGGTCCCGATCCACAGCGGGCCTTCCGCTGCCCTTGGGAGTGCTGGACCCGCAGGTGGTTCTTGCAGAGTCCCTGGGCGCTGCATGAGGCCTGCACAGCTCCTCTGGGGTCACAGCTCAGACACCTTTTCACTTAACATCAGGGTTTGGGCTTCTGCCTAGATTTCCAGAGAAGGCTACAGTGCCCGCTTTCCAGGGCAAAGACAGGCTAAGGGGGAAAATCAGACCAGAGGGCCGCTAGGGGCTCCCCCTACCAATGGAGATCTCATATAAAACTATACATACCGAGCATTTCCATAGCGCATATAAAAATTCTATACATTATTCTCTCGTCACACACAGTCCACATTTGGTATAAATAGACCGACACAACACTGTATAAAAAGTCCTTTGTCCCGGGGCATCGCTACAGTAGTTACCCTGATGTGGCCTCAGGTCCAGAGTCAGGCTGACCTGACACTGCCCAGTGTCCCGGTGTCCTCATGGGAGCCCTGAGCAACGGCTGCAGCGGAGGCCGGAAGGCCACCCGGGGCTGTGGGGCTAGGTGGGCGGGGGGCCATGGTAGCGCAGCATGAGCCGGAAGGAGCGGGCGAAGGTGTTGGCCAGGGTGCAGCTGCGGCCTTCGCGCCCGGCGGGCAGCATGAAGAGCAGCAGCAGCAGCAGCAGTAGCAGCAGCTGCAGGGGCAGCGCCACACGGCACACCTTCCAGAAGCAGGAGCCCAGCCCTCGCCGCCGAGTCTGCAGAACCAAAGAGGGAAGCGTGAGCAGGCACAGGGGCTGGGGCTGGAGGGGGCCTTGGGCAGCGCCCCCCCGGACAGGCCTTCTGCACATGTCTCAGTCTTCCCATCTGGAAGTGGGGCTCATGTGAGTTTTGCCAGAAAGAAAAATCCCTGGGGTTTTTGCAAACCATTCAAGGCCTTCAGTAAAGTCACAGACTCTGGCAGTTACTCTAAGTCTTTGGCTATGAGAGTGGGGCTGGGGGGACATTGGGGAGGGCACTCAACTTCTCTGAACTTCAACTGTCCATCCACACAGAGGGGTCAGAATGGCACCTACCTGCCAGGGCTGGGGCACTTGAAGCTGCTGCCCCTATTACTGTGCACCATTAAGAGCGCGTCTAAAGCACGGTTGTCTCACCACCTGTCACCCTCATCGTCACCACCACCACATCCCTCCTGCTCCCTGCCATCGCCTCCTCTTTCATCGACACCACCAGCGTGACCTGAAGGTCCGACTCACAAGTCCAGACGCCTAGTGGACTTCTTTGCTGTGATGTCCATGAAAGTAGCCAAAGAACGTTTCCTAAATTCCAGAGGGACAAGCAACTTCCAAGCAGCAAAGGATCAAGAGCTGAATGCCCAGGAAAAAGAAGCCCCGTGGCCGAGGGGCAGTGGAGTGCTGGGCAGGGGCCCGGCCCAGAGGACCAGGCTGACCGGGTCTTAACACAGCCTCTGTCATGGACTCACTGGGTGACCCTGGGCCAGCCCGCAGCCTCGCTGAGGCCCCATTTTCTCCGCGGCAAAATGGGAATAAAGCACCATGTGCCGGATGGCGTGACTCAGAGCAAAGCGTCAGTGGGGATTTACATGCTAGCTCACAGTAGCTGGGATCTGCTTAGAAGCACCTGCCGTTAGTGCAGAATATGCTGCTGGTTCACAAAGGTTCCCCCTCCAGGCGCCACGAGCTACAGTCCGGACATGAGGGTGGGGGCGACGTGAGGCGATGATGACGGGGGTGGTGGTGGTGAGAAAGCAGGGCCCAGCCTGGCCCATCCGTCTCTCCGCCTCTCAGACCTGAGTGGCCACACTCCCCTGCCCCAACCACCTCCACATAAAACATTTGACCCCGTGGTTTCAGCCTTAAATATTCCCACCTGCCAGAGTCCTTGGCCAGTGACCTTGAGAAAACACACCTCTAATCATGCACGGGACAGAGAAGCAATTCCGGCCACGCTATTTCAGCGGTGACCTTGGGAGCAGGGGTGCGGGGTGATGACTCCCGCCAGCACGGAGTGGGGCGTGTCCTCAGAGACGCGGCTCCTCCACAGCTGCCCGGGGGTCAGGCCTGCCCGGGCTGTGGTCTCGCCCACTCGCTGGGCTCGGGTGAGGCCGCCTCAGTCTGTGGGGGCTCTAATCGGACTCCCCGACATTTCATGTTGGTGGCGCCTGATTTCAAATCTCTGACCCGCCCGGGAGAGGAAAGAAGCCCCAGGTGTGGGTTTACACCGCAACTGAACACCTGTAATGAATGGTCCCCTCAGGTGGAGAATTGGCTTCCAGGTGCCCTCTCTCTGTTCTTCTCCATTCTCAGAGCTGATGCTCCTTTGAGCACCCTCTGGGGGAGCCCTCTTTGACGGTCCAAGCTGTGTCTGCCTTTCCAAGTGCTGACAAGGGAGGTTTCCTTCAAAGGACTCCGCTGCCTGCCCAGTGGCTGTTCCCCTGGAGCTCATGGCTTCACTTTAAGGGACCTGGAGTCCAAAATGCCCTTCTGATTCCCAAATCTTCACACACACACACACACGCACACGCACACGCACGCACACACACACACACACACAAATAGACACCAACAACTGTCTAAGAAGACAATGAAGAAATCGGCCATCTCTGTTCTCCCCAGACCTGGGGGTTCTCGGCACCTCAGTCTCCCCAGAAAGTACTCCCTGCGTCCCAGCAGCTCGAGTGACCCAAGCAGAGAAGGGGCTCCCGCGGGAAGGGGTGAGTCGGGATGGAGGACGAGGCTGCACAGCGCGTGGCGGGAGGAGGAGCATCTGTGGGCGGGAGAGGCTCAGTGGAAACCAACAGCGGCTCTTGAGTTTTGAATTCAGATGAGTCTGTCACAGAGAATGTGGCCTGGGCTGGGGGAGGGGGAAGGTCCAGAGTCCTGGGCTCTAGCCCTGTTGTGTCACTTCCTAGCTCTGTGACCTAGGACAGGTCACTTGGCTTCTCTGAGCGTCAGGTTCTCGGTGGGGGGGGTGGGGGAGAGGGTGGCTGGGGGGTTGAGGGGGGTGACGTCTGCCTGCCAAAGCTGGAAGGGTGAACATGGTGGCCCTTGCTTAACTTGCTGTGCATAGTAGGTGCTCAATAAACGCCCGTTCTCCCCTAACAGATGGATCCCGGGCAGGTGGGCAGCTCCTGCCAGAGCTGCAGCTTCCCACTGCCAGGGACCAGGCACCACCAAGCTCCCCAGTCCCATCAGGGAGGAAGGCGCTGCTCTTAAATGCCGCCTCTCAGCCCCCTGAGACCCTCACATCCCCCTCCACGGGGCTTCTGCACAGACTGACCCTCCTGTGTGGAAAACTCATCGCCCTCCTTCTGGTTAGTTCCTGACCAGGGTCGGGGTGGACACTGAGCTCCCATTGTATAGTCTTAGGGCACCTTTCCTTTGCAGTATGCCTGCGTCCCTTGGTCTCTCTGGGGTCCACTTTAGTTGTCTGCGGCAACCCCCGTCATTTGCACGGAGTGAATGAAGACTAGGGAAGGACCCTTTCTGCGCATCTGGCGGCCTGCGCCTCCCTCGGGGCCCGTGATGAGACATGCAGACCCTGGCTGACCCCTGGCTGTCAACGGTGCTCTCTGTCCTCACGGGTCACCCGGAACATCCGGGCTCTACACTGTGACACCGTGACAGTGCCCACCACGGCTCTGTCCTCAGCTCTCCACGGCTCCTGGGCCCCCCAGAGCTCCTGCCCAGCAAAGTGATGAAAAGAAAGGAGCTATCAAGTCATGAAAAGACACAGAGGAAAGTTAGATGCATGTTACTAAGTCAAAGAAGTCACTCTCAAGAGGCGACATACGGTACGGTTCTGACATTCGGGGAAAGGCGAGCCGTAAGGACAGTGCAAGGGTCAGAGGTTATCAGGGCTGGGCAGGGGGAGAGCAACAGGAGGAGCCTAGAGGACGTCAGGGCTGCAAGATGCTTCATGATGCTGTAACGGTGGGTAAATGGCACCGTCTGCGGTGAGTTCATCAAAACTCTCAGCACACACAGCGCGAGGCGGGCACTAAGTTAGCAGGGACGTCATCGTGCTGATGGGCGGTGCGGGCTCGCGGACTGTAACGAACGTGTCACACGCAGGCAAGGGGGCAGAAACAGGGGAAACTGCCCCAAAAAGTCTATTTTTTTTTTTTTTGTAAACTATTGAGAAAGCTCTAGAATTCTGTATATGAGCTGTGGCCTAAGTACTAGTGTTTCATCCACACTGAATCTTATCAACACTGATTCTACCAGCTGGAGGGGAGGGCTTGGGGAGGGGGGAGAGACAGAGGTGGAGGGAGGGAGGAGCAGACTGACCCATGGCGAGATCTGAAAAGAGCAGCCGGGACAGCCGTGAGCAGGGACACGGTCACTGACCCCGCGGTCACCTAGAGGCCAAGGAGAAGCGCACAGAAATATGTTCCTCGTCGAGAGAAGCAGCAGCTACTGGTGACGTGGCTGGGGTGAATTTCAGAGGCACTGGTGGGCACAAAGGCAGGTGGGCTGAGCACCAGCAGGATGAGGAGAGAGACTGCAAAGACAGACGAACTCTCTGGAGTTCAGTCGTCAAAGTCAAGTCTCAGGAACCTACGTCCACGGTCCTGGCAATGGCTCTTTTGCAAATCAGTGCTGGCCAGTCGCTCTGGGCTCCCCGGCTGAGCGAGACAGTCTGGGGCGACACACGGCAGGTAGTCTGGGGCTGCCTCTCTCTTTCTGAAGATGAGACACAGCCCAGCCCCAGCAGAGCCCAGCTCTTCAGCTAAGAAACAGCCAAAGTGACCAGCCCCCAGCGTTGCACAGTGAATCGCGGGCTCCAAAGTCACGCTACGTCCTTTCTGCCCCCAGCCTGACCTGGATCATGGTCACAGATAAAACGGGGCCAAGAGGCCACTCTCCTCCAGCCAAGAGAAGGTGCTATGAACCGTGAGGACCAGGCTCGTTGGGGGGTGCGGGGGTGGGAGGACATGTAGCGCACAGCAGGGATTTTCAACATCATCACGGTCGTGGTGAGAGAAAGCTGCCGTCTAACAGGGAGACCCACTCCTGCTCCATAGATGCAGGACCTGGTCTTCCCGCCTACGATGCTAAGTGGCCACCATTAATACCGACCAAGAAAGAAAAGGACCAGGATGGGGGCTCACTGGAGATCGCCCCCTCCAGCTGGGCTGCACCATCCACTCAGCGGAAATGAGGAATCGCCTCACCTCCCAGAAAGGGAGCCAGGAAATTCACCGTGGCGCTGGGTGAAGACAGGGACGCGAATTCTCCCGAGAACATGCGTGGCAGGGGGGGCTCCCAGGGGGCTGATGGCAGAGACCAGCCACAGCCTGGGAGCAGAGACTTTCACGGAAAGACACGTCGGGTACTGTGTCTCGGGTGGGGGGGTGCAAACCCACATCCCTGCTGGGAGAACTAGACGGTACCCGGATTCCAGAGAGGTGGAACATGATGAGCCTTCAGGCCTAGGAAGACGTGTGCGGGCAAGTGAATAAAATGTCGCTCTGGGTAGCTCAGCCTCTGGCTCTGCCCCGAGAGGCCACAGCAGGCAGCACCGGGGAGGGGTCTGCCCCGACCCTGTCTATGGTGCATGGGCCATGCTGCCCAGGTGGCCCAGGCAAACAGATGTGTTTGCAAATCTCAACTAGTCGTTTGTCTCAGGTAGGACGACACCACTCCCTGGGCCCAGGCAGGAACTGTGGGGACTCCTGGCCATGGCGACTTCAAGAGCAATTACATTTCATGGGGCGGAGCGCAGTGGGCAGCCTGTCTGAGGGCACGGAGCTGGCAGTGTGTAGGCAGCTGCAAATTCAATAAATCGTAATGATTCTGTTGATACAAACAAGCAGGCTGGAGCCACTGACGTCGGTGGAGCATTCGATGACTTGGTGCACGGTGAGAAAAAAGCAGAGAACCAACGGCTCATAAATAATTAGCCTCGGTCAGGCTCCCCCTCCTGCTTTGGACTGAAAATAATATAGGGAATGTTCTGAAGCTGGCAGGATGACAACCTCTGCAGACAGCACCTACTTTCTACCCGTGTGTGTGCGTGTGTGCGCGTGCCTGCAGCCCTGCCAGAAGAAACAACACGAGCCCCAAACCAAAGGGGGGACGCCCCAGGAGTGCCCTTGCTGCAGAGAAGGTCCCCGGGTGCTCTGTCACATGGCAATCAAGAGCCTACTGTGTGCGGGCTCTGAACAGACATTCCCACCCTACCTCTAGGGCACCCCTTCTACTCCCTGGAAAGCCAGGTGAGGTGCCCCGCCCAGCCTCACACACCCTGATGGTGGGGCCCAGATGCAAATGTGGAGATAAAGCAGTTCTCAAAGTGGGACCCCCAGCCCAGCAGCCTCAGCCTCACCAGGGAACTTGCTAGAAATGCAGATTCTTGGACCATCCCAGCTGTTATAAATCAGAAGCTCGGAGGACGCGGCCCTTGAACGTGCTATCATACAAATAAGCCCCAGCTGGCTCTGCCATTGGCCCCCGGATCTCTTCTTCACAGCAGGCCAGGGCCTGTTAGCACAGGAGCCAGCAGCTCCACAAACTCAGAGCTTTGGCGGGTGCTGCCCATACACACAAACACGAGATGTGAGCACCATGGAGGGTGGGGAACCTGGTGTGCCAGGCACCTGGGTCACAGACTCGGCGGCGTGAGGGGCCTCGGCCCCGAATGCTATGGGGGGCGTGCCGGAGGCCCAGGCCATCATGAGCCATGCGTGGCAGGAAACAGACTTGTTCCTACAAAAGGTGGCGCTGGGACAGCAATCTCGTGGAGATTTGACAGAAGCGGGGAGACCCACCGGTCCCCAGGGGTGGGTCCCCAAGACACAATTTTGTCCACATGGGACAAAGAAGAGGCCCTGACTGTGATTTCACCAGCCCCTGCACACAGCTCGAGGCTGCTCACTATTATCATTGCTGTTAAGGTTATTGCCTTGGGGGCCAGGCGCCTGGGGGAGCTCTGAGCCTCCTGGGGGGCGGGGTGGAAACGTCTACTGGCAGGGCAGGAGCAGTGCCCACGTCTATGTCCTTGGGTTTGCCTGGAACCCCAGGTGTCCTGGGACAGCCCTGCTCTATGCCGGCGATCCCAGCATAATTACAGCAGTGTCCTCTTCCTCCCCACACTGTCCCATTTTGGACAAAAAAATCCCAGGGTTCCTCCTCTATCCAGTGCCAGTCACAGCTCAGTACAGCCTGGACCCCCTGGGGCTTCTGAGAGCAGGACCCCAGGGCCCAGCCCCCTGCCCCCAGGCGGACTCCCCATAAATGCTCCTCAGACCTCATGGAACATTCCAGAAAGGCCAGGAGCCCCATCCCAGCACCACAGGTCCACCGACCCTCCCGACGTCCTGCCCTCTAACTGTGCAGCAGATGGCAGACACGGTACCTTCTGGAATCCAGTCGGCTCCCCTGGAGAACTCTGCGTCTGTTATTTTAGGAAAGGAGAGGAAAAGGCAAAAAAAAGAAGTTAAGTGAGTGAAACTCAAATCCCAGCAGAGCCTGTAATGGAATATTCATTTTGTCAGGGGAGTGTTTCTTTAAAACTTCTGGTCATCTGGACAGGCTGAGCCAGCAGGCGATTCACTTAATGAGCTTTTTAACGCACTTCAGCCCCAGGTGGGGCCTTGTCTGGGCAGACGGGCCAGGCCCTGGCCGGGGCAGCGCTGACACCTAGTGGCCAGGACGGCAGCTTCAAGGTGAAGCTTGGAGTCTGGGGCTTGGGGGCTGAGAAGGGCCCCAGGTTCCCCACCCCCAGCCGAGTTAACCTCCATGCCTCAGTTTCCTCCTTGGTTCTCAGGGACTAACAACTGGACCCCCTTTCATTGGGTTGTTTATGAGGACAGAACATTAATAAAAGCGATTATTATGATTCATTTAGCGATCACTGTTGCTTTGTGTGAGGAGATACGGGGTCTAAGGTGCATAGTCACAAGCCACCTTCATGGAGGGGTGGGGTCCGATCCCAGGCCCCAGGCCCCAGTCCAGCAGGATCCTCCATCACCAGGTGGGGTGAGTGCTGGCTCTATCCCTTACTGGCCTGTGACCCTGGCGAGCCTCAGCAACCCCTCTAAGGCTGCTGCTACTATTCCTTTGGCAGAAGGCTGCTGTTGGACTGTGCAGGGTGAGGCATGTAGAGGTTGTGCTGTCATTCTGGAGGCATGTAGAGGTTGTGCTGTCACTCCAGTCTGATGGGGTGGCTCAATGGCCAGATCACATCCTACAAATCCTTTCTCTTCGACTGAAGTGGTCACTGCACTGGCCCATGGAGGCCCTATGGAGGCCCATGGAGGGTGAAGGGCTGATGACATTTCCCAGGAGAGTTTGGGTTAGCCACGGTCCATCCCCAGGACTGGGACCTGTGCATTCTGAGTACCTACCAGCAGATGTCTGGAGTCCTTGAGTTTGGACTTGTACAGCATCCACCGGTAGCGCAGGTCCTCCAACTCATCTGAAGTCCCCCTCGCTGGTCCAAGATGAAGAAGATTCTCAAAGAGCTGCTGACCTTCTGGTACCCGAGCCTCCAGGTCCTGGAGGGAAAACGTAGCATTGTTATGTGCCCCACCTGGCTGGCGAGGGAGCCAACCACATTTCACTTAGAACCTGTAAAATGAGAATCCCAGCCCTGCCAATTCAAGTCAAGGTCAGGCAGTGCCTCTCCAGAATGTTCCAGAATGGAACAGGATGAAAGGGGCAGCAGCACTACTGATCTCCCTGGTTACTCCCAAGTCTGACATTTTAGAACCAAGTCTGCCAGAGGCACGATCATCATGGTGAAAGCTTCATTGTTAAGCATGTCTCTCTGTTGGCGTTTTTAAGCCTGGCGGGTGATGCTGGGATTGGACGGACTTCTATCAAATCTTAATGCTGTGCTCCCCCGGGATGGCACCTTCTATCCTCAGGATTCCTGGGAGATAGTGTGATGTCGGGGGTGGGTAGGGCTCCAAATCCAGGAGCCTGGGTTTAAGTTCTGGTTTTGGACTCTGGTTCCACCTCAGCTGTATGATGTGGGGCAAGTTGTTTGGCTTCTAGGCGCCCACAGAACATGACATTAAAAGAGCTTAATGGGATGAGCTGCCAGTTGTCTGAGCTGCTGGGGTTGGGTGGTATTGGGCAGAGGAGGGAGTGGCCAGATAGGAGGTAGGAGGCTGGCAGGCAGGCCTTCCTGGGAAGAGTCCACTTGGCAACTAAGATCAAACCTCTCACTGAGGACTATCAAAAGCATTTAAAAGGCATCAAAGAGTTAGCCAAAGAACAAGCACATCAGGCCAAAACCTGGGAATGGATGAGAACCCAGAGGAGGAACCCAGGACATTTGACAATGTGGCAAAATTAGTTGTGAAACTGAGCTGTGCCCCTGGCAGCCTCCCTGGGCTCGGGGGACAAACTCGTAGTCCTGCAGAGTGGACACCCCGACCTCCCTCTCCTCTTAGCTTTGACGCCTAAAGGCAATACAGAAGTACACTTGGATTTGCAGTCTAGTTCCAAATCATCTCAGCAGTCCAGGGAATCTCAGGCCTGGAGCTTGGATTTAGTGGCTTCAACATGATAAAGCACCCCCCAGCCCTACCCCCTTGCCGGGCAGAAGCAAACAAAATCCTCTCTGGAGAAGAGATGACCCTTAATCTCCCACTACTCTCCCACCTTATTTGCCAAACGCCGCCCAGCACGCAAAGCAGCCACACACAGATACAAGGCACCAAGAACATAGACACATTCCTAGCGTGACTGAGACACTGGCATTATTTGACACTGTAAAACAGCTATATTTGCTGTGGTCAGACGTTAAAAGACAAGCTTCAATTTTTCAAGAATCTGGAAGCAATAAAAAGTGACAGAGCGGATTTTTGAAAGGACCAGGTAGACAGTCCAGCAGATAAACACACATCAAAGGTTAAGAACTTAAAAGACACATGCAGTAGTTCTTCCTGCCACACCCATGCCCTTTGCAGTGTGGCTTGGCCAGTCTCCCCGGCAACAGGCAGTCTGCTTGCCATCCCCTTGAACCTGGGCTGTGGGCCTTGGGACTTTCTTTGTCCAACCGAATGTAGGGGAATTATCATAGTGCTAGTACCTACGCTAAGTCTCAAAGGGCCTTGCCTGGACTCCTTGCTATCTTAGGCCTGCCTCTGCTAGAAGCCTGGGCTGCTCAGCACAACAGCCCACCACCCCCCAGATAAAACCACCCAACCGACCTGTAACTGACAGCCAACAACAGTAGGCTCCCTGCACAGCCGAGCTCAGCCTAACCTGCTAATCTTCAGAATCTAGTTACATAAATAGTTGCTCTTTTAAGCCACAAACTGCTGGGGTCGTTTGTTACACAGCAACAGCTAACTGACCAGGATACTTTACAGTATCCTCTGTGATACTTTGAAGGGCCCCTGGCCAGAGGCAGCCCTTTCTGTTGACAAACGCCCTGATGGCAAACACCAAAGGCAAAGGAGCCCTTCCTTGGGAACGAACCTGCAGCTTCATTTCTCTGGTCCTCACGTCCTGGGCTGTGGCAGTTTTCATGGCGATGATTCGAACCAACTTGGAATTTTCTACCTGCAACCACTGTTCAAAGTTCCTCAGGAGCTGGGGGAAATCTTCACGGTTGCTGCCTTCTTCCTGCAGAAGGTTTGCCTGCGTGAATGCACAGCAAGACCAAAACATCAGAGGTTCTGAAAACAGCCACTGGCCGTGTGTCTGAGGGGTTCCCTGTGGCAGGGGCACGTGATAAGGATGCCCGAGGAGCGAAGAGGCAGCATCAGGGAGGAAGACTGTCTCGCTGCTCAGCGTCTCCCTGCTTAAGGGCCACAGACTGTCCTTGCTGGCACCTCCCTGGTGGCCACCATCATCTCTTACCAGGATGGCTGACCAGGGGGTGCCTCTGGGGCTGGGTGATCTAAAAGGCTCTCAGCTGAGCTCTGGCTGACGTGTCCGTGGCTTCCCACGCTCCTGGATGTGCCCAGAGCCTGGGTAATGGCTCCGCCTGACCCTCAGCTTCCCTGTTGTGGAACCCCAGCCGCAGCCGCGTCATGGCCCCAACATTGGTGTCCCTCCCTCTGGCTCTCTGCACACATTCTCTGCTCCTCACACCCTCAGCATAAGGGTTCACCCACAAATCATTCCTCCCCCAAGGCATCGCTACCCCAGAATGGGCCCTGACCTCGCTGCAGCAGGCTTCCGGCGTCCAGCCCCCCACCATCGAGCCCTAGGCTCTTGGTAGACTCTTCTTCAACTGCCCGTGGCTCCCACTTCCTTGCTCCTCAGGGGCGAGGGCTCGCCTGGGGCTTGTTAGGACCGTGGCCCTGGGGCACCTGCTAGTCAGAATTAGCACCTAACGCAGGCAGGGGCACGTGCCCTCACGGAGAGCTCTGCACTGATTCCACCGCTCTGAGGGTCCCCAGTGTTCCTGTCTGGGTCACGCACCCCAGCTCCACCACAGCCCCCAAAACACAGTAACACACCTAGACGTTCTGGGGTGAAAGGATGAGTAAGACAAAGAAGGGATTCATATGTCCCCTTGGAAGGTGAGGAGTGCCTTCCTTCTCACGTGGCTCACGTGCCTAAAGGCAGCCGGGCCGGGCCGGGCCGGGCCGGGTGACGTGGTCAGAATTCTTTTCACAAAACACAACTTAAAGCACCAACCCCACCCCCCTCAAACTTGTGTGACTTCAGTTTCCAACCTGGGCTAGCCATGAGCTTTCAACCCTGACCCCTGGTCCCTGCGGGGGTGGTTGCCCCTGCTTCTGGGTGAGGGCCTCTCCGGCCGCGGGCTCCCGACCTTCTCGGGGGGCCTGGGCTGAGGTCTCCGAGGCTCTCCGTCCATTGACTCAAGTGCTCCTTGGGCTGCATCAGGAAAGGTCAACCCTGCAGGGGTGTGACCAAGTCCTTGCTGAGCTGGCAGGGAGGGGGCTTTGCTGGAGCCCCCCCGCACCCGACTCTGCACCTCCCCAGAGACCCCCCTAGGCTGACTCACCTGGCGGCGATGCCTGGGAATGGGATCCAGGGGGTTGATGAGAAATCCAGCCTTTGGGATGTTGTTGGTGAAAACCATTTTCTTCCCAGAATCCACTTCTGTCCTTTGCATCTTCTGGTTTCTGATGAGGCTGAGAAGGCAAATCAGTGCTGTCAACGAGGTGCCGTAATGGGGTCTCACCAGGCCACGGTGGGGGCTGAGAGGGTTGAACAGGGGCTCACATGCTGTGGGCAACTTCCGGTCCTTGCTAGCCAGCGCCTGTGCCTCAAGTTTTCCTGAATGCTCCCAAGGCACATGCACTTCCAGTTTCCCAGCTGAGAACCCCCCCTTCCCAGCATGCAGGTGCACACAGACCCAGAGGGCTTGGAGGCTGCTCTGCACTGGGGCGCTTCCCACTACTGCCCTGCCAGAGGGCCAGCTGAGCCCAACTGGAGACGCCTCAGCTGCCTGGGACTCCAGAACCCAGATGTCTGTGCCAGGAGCACCGTGGGGGGCTGCCTTGATGGGGAGAGGGCGATGCCCGAGACCAGGCTCAGGCCCAGAGCCTCTCACCTCAGCAGGCTCTCCTCCAGCAGCTTCAGGGCCTGCCAGGACTCTGCCAGCTCCGCCAGCTCCAGCTGCACCGCAGTGGCCCCTTCCCGGGAGGAATTCTTCATCACCAGCCGGCCCTGTGCTTCGATCAGGAGCAGCTGGGCCTCCCTCTCCGGGAACTCAGCCAGCAGCCTCTGAGGACACACACACACAGAGTGAGGTCCAGGCGGGGGCCTCTGCACCCTCTCCGGGGAGCTGTGGCCTCCCAAACCTGCTGGGGATGCAGAGGGGCGGGATCTGGGCTCTTACCTGGACTAGGACCTCCCGGGACTCAGCATCCCAAGGGCCTGCATCCCCCCGGTATGACTCCAGTTTCTGAGTGACTGCGGCCATCCACTGTCTCAGCTCCAGCAGCTTGTGGCTGAAGGCGCAGTGTTCCCGCACGCGCTGTCTGCATGCATCCACCAGGTCCTGCGGCACAGCCCCGAGGGGCCAGGGCACAGTGAGCACTGGCTGACAGTAAGATCTGGGTCCCTTGTGCCCTGCTGGACCCCAGACCTGCTTGGGCCCAAGGAGAGATGGTCCCAGGCCGCCCCGCCCAGCAGGAACAAGGGAGACAGGTCCCTCCTTCTGCTTGGAGCAGAGTTTATCAGGGCAAGACAGGTCTGGTTTCAAACGCCTCCAAGCCTGTCCTACTTTCATGGAAAGGGCCACGTCTGGATGAGGGTGTGGGCAATGGGTGCTATTGTCCACTGCCACGGCACAGCCACTTGGGAAAACAGAAGACGGGCATCACATGACCCCACCATTTCCCCCGGGGGGTAGACGCAAACACGTCTTCACCAACAGCATGAGTGGGGTGTCGCTTGTAAGAGCCCCAACTGGAACATTACCCATGTGCCCTCAACAGCGGAATGATAAATACCCTGAGGTCTAGCCCCACATGGACTATTTTACAGCCACCCAAATGAATAATCTAGGCAACAACCTAATACAGCCTTATAGATAAAATTACAGCCCTCGAGCAGACCACTTAGCTATTCACGGCATTATTGTATTATAATTGCTTCCTTTTAAAGTCTCTTTTCTAGTTTAGACGTTACATTACACTTAAGGTGTGCGGGTAACACACTGTCTGTGAATTTCAAAGACGTCAGGCGCATTTGTTAGTGACGGACGGTGGAGAACCCAGCCTTAGACTGTTTCCTTGCGGTGTGGCTGCCCGAGAGCTGGCCTGGCACTCCTGGGGCACTAGTCACTGCAGACCCAGGGCTCCGGCAGAGTCAGTGTTGGGTGGGGCCTGAAACCTGCATTTTAACTTGTTGGCAGGTCCATTTTCAAGGAGCCTCTCCAGCACCATTCCCCTGGCTGCAGGGGAGCCAAGGCTGGGCCCGCACCAGAGAAGAACCAGGTGGCCACTAGAGGGCGCTGCAGGTGAGGCCCTGGCTCAGCCTTTCCACCTGAAACTCACCCAGCAAGCAGGAAGGTGTCTCCCTGGCAGGCCCCACAGGGTCTGAGCAGCCTGCCCTGCTCGCTGGGTCCTGGGCGCAGGTGGGATTTATTGGCTGGTTGGCTTGCTGACTCATTGTCCATCTACCCTCGAGAACGTAACACCTCCCCCTCTCGGGCAGAGTCTTGGCCATCTTATTTGTGTTGCCTCATCCTCAGGGCCCAGGACACTACCTGGCATGCAGGTGGTGCTCAGTGATTATACGCTGAGTGAGCAAGGAAGGAAAGAAAGGCAAGAGAAAAGGGTTGGAAGGAATGAAGGAAGATAAGGGGGGATGAGGCCTCAGGAGCTTGGACTCCAGGGCCTGGTGTCTGCCACGGCACAGGCTCCAGCCCTTACCTCCAGTGTCCTCTGCAGGGCCTGGCAGTCGGCAGAAAGCTGGTCCATCTTGTGCTGCTGGCCAAGGTTCCCCTGGATGAGAGGCCTCGCAGCCTCCACCTGCGCCCCCAGGTCCAGCCCCTCTTCCTGCAGGCCCTGAGTAGAGCAAGGAGGGAGTGGAGTCTCTCATCACAGAAGCTGATGTGGGGACTCTGGGGGAGTCTGAGGGGATCCCCTCCCCTCAACTACACCATCATGGCCACCGAATAGGCCCACTCTCTGGGCCAGTGAGAGTTTGCGATGAAACAAACTCTGCCCAAGACCCGAGGTGCTTGTGCGGGGAGGGCTCTGGGCTCTTCTTGGTGAAGAATCTCAGCCCTGGCCGCTCCTAATGAAGAATCACACCCCTGCTTGAGTGTTCAAGCCCTGAATGCACCATTTTTAATGTCCTTTAAAGAAAACTCTCGAGTTTAGTATGAGCCCTGCTAGGGTTTTAAATAGACGGCTGGTATAGCATGTGTATTTAAAAACCAGTAAGCTCCTGATCCAGGCAACAATTATCAATGATCAGCCTATGGTATTTTACAACATTTATTCTTAGCCCCCAAATCAGCTTATTTCACCGAAGGCCTCTGGTTTCATGAGGAACACTTAGCAGAGCAATTTAAAAAAAAAATTGAAGTTAGACTTGGGGACCAGAGTCAGCAAAGGCACAGCTTATCATTTTGTTGGGCTCAAGGACAGCAGTTGGCAGGTGCTAAAGGCCCTTCTGAGGCAGGAGCCATCAGGTAAATCAGCAGTGTTGATAGGAAATTGGGTCTTAAAAGAGGGGCTCGCTCTGTGCTGGGACAGCCACAGCTTTGCGAGATACAGCCTCCCGAGGGCAGCTGCTTTGGGGGCAGTGAGCACCTGGCAGGGGCAATGCAGGCCCCACCGACTCCTTACCTGCAACCTTGAAAGCTGGGCCTGCTTCCCAGGAAGGTCCCACTGAAGCCCATCCTCGGCTTGGACCCTGATTTGGAGGTCCCAGAGCTTTCTCTGCAAGGGCTCAAAAGCCGCCCCAAAATCTTTGTGCTGAGCAAGCAAACTCTGCGGAGACACAGAAGGGGCACGTAGCAGTGAGTTTGCCGCCACCCCACCCCGCCCCTGCCACCCCGTCCCGGGCTCCTGCTTGCACAACCGGAGATTCACAATCCAGCTGCCCCTTCCTGCCCTATCTTGCCCAGCTCATTTCCATTTAGGTGTCACCTTCTCCAGGAAGACTTCCTGGAGCTCTGGAGGGGGTTGACACTCCTCCCGTGGTGACTTCACACAACAGTCACTCTGGCCTCTAGGACAGGGACTGGCAAACTATATCTGGTACCACACACCCCACATCCCACCAGAGTCCTGTTTTGTAAATAATGTTTTCTTGAACACGCCCGTGCCTTTCCAGCTGCTTGCCTGCGCCACCGCGAGCCGAGCAATGCAGCAGACAACATCTGCCTGCAAACCGAAAAGGCTTGCTAGGTGCTCGATGCTGGGATTAGCTGGGATCAGCTGGGATCACAGATGTGCAGCCCTTAGCAAGTGCCAGGCCCCTAATCAGTTCCTCCAGATCACAGCTGTGGTCACCTGACCAGAGATTCGGCATTTGTCACGTCATAGCCTACACTGTCCCCAACAGGCCATGTTATGTCCTTGGCTTAGTGCTGTCACTTAGCACCTTGTCCCTCTTAGTGATGGCTTCCAGTTCTCCGGGGGTTGAAAATGGACATTTTTCTCTGTGTTTTCTTTCGACATCCCCCCTCCCTCGGCTGCCCCCAGCTTACCTTGGAGGACAGTTCCAGTTTGTTTGTTTGTTTTTTTAAATAACGATGCACTTAATATAGGGGTGGGGCCACTACATTAAAAGTTTTGCTGTAAGCAGAAAAACAGCGCCTCTGCATTGTAGTGTCCAGGGGCAGAGGACAGACGGCTACAAAACCCGGGGGAGGATCCCCAATAATCCCACCCAGTTCACAGATGCGGGGGTTCAGGGATGGGGCGAAGTCCAGGGCCACACCGTGGCAGGTGGTGCAGCCGGGTCGGGACGCACCAGAGGGCAGCCAGAGGGCAGCTACCCCGTGTCTGGGCTCCCTTTGGGCGCGCGGCCCTGCTCACCTGCAGTTTGCTCTTCCTCTGCAGAAGGCTGTTGTGCAGCAGGTCTCGGTCTCTCACGGAGCTCACCACCTGCTCCAGCAGGGCCGCGGCTCTCTCTGGGCCAAAGATGCTGCCCAACAGGTCTCTCTTCAGCTGCAGCATCGTCAGCTGCTCCTTCAGGCGGGAGCTCTCCGCCAGCGCCGCCTGCAGGAGATGGGCCTCCGTGAACCTCAGGGACTCGGGGGACAGAGGGTGGGGGCAGGCCCGGGGCACAACCGAGGAGAAGGCGGCTGTGGGTGTGCGCCAGGAGGTCTGAATTTCTGGTCAACTTGATTCCTTTCCCATCCCCCACATCCTGCTCAGCACCAAAGCCAGGGCCGAGCTCTGCCTCCTACGTGTCCCAGAAATCCAAGCCCTACTATCCCTCCTGCCTCTGACCGTGCCACTGCCTCAGGCCCTTGCCCCTGGTCTAGGAGCCCTGACCCCCCTGCTGCCCCCAGCATCTACCCTCCACCCGCAGCAGAACACAAGCTACCCACTCGGTCCTCAATGATGTCCCCCCACCAGCAGCCCAAACACACACAAACACACACAAAGGTGAGGCCCCCAGGTGAGGGGCCCAAACACACACAAACACGCTCCCAGGTGAGGCTGCTCGGAGGAGAGCGGGGGGGGGGGTGGCCCACAGGACCCCAGCCAGGAAAGGTGAGGCCCTGTGGCTTAAGAACTGGAGAGAAAACAAATTCTTGTTCCAACTTGAACATCAAGTGAAAAATCAGAGGGTAGACACCCCAAAATGCAGGCCCTAGTCTACTGGCAGAGTGGGGACGAGTAACCCCAGTTAATGGTTCTCAGCAAATCCAGGTTGCCCAGAAACCATGATGGAGACAGTCTCCCAACGTGCAGATGGCAGTCCTCTGGCTCGCGGGGTGACTTTCTTCTCCACAAACCTTCACAGGCTCCCGGTGGGCACAGCTTTTGTCATCACAACGAGAGCCGGCACGAGCTGGGCTCACATCTCTGATCGCACGTCTCTTCCTGCCCTACACGCCTCAGAATCCCGTGACCCCAAAGCATGTTATGACCTGAAGCCCACCAGAGCATCAGGCAGTGTTCACAGGTGAGTCAGCCACCCTGTTGACAGGAGTCAACTGTTCACCCAACAGGCAGAGCACCTCTCCCTCACTGGCCGCCAGGATTGTATTTGAGTGGCTAAGTGCCCGGTTATGGGGTCTACATTAGGATAAGTCTGCCAGGGCTTCTGGAGAGTCTGCCAGGGCTTCTGGGAAGGCCTGGCCTCCCTGTTGAACATGGCTGATCGCCCAGATGCAGTTCCTGCCAGCACACAAGCTTGTTCTTGCGAGGGGACATGCTTGGGCCACCTTGGTCCCGTGAGGGGAGACATCGCTTAGTGTGGGAAAGAGCTGGGTTCTGGGTGACAACGCTGAGTGATCAAGCTGGTGCTGGGGTCTCTGTGTCTAGAGTCGCCCCTGTTCAGATTCGGTCACTTGTCACATGCATCCTAATTAACACGCAGCAAAGATAAGGCTGGGCACGCTGCTCTCCACTGCCCTGGCTCCCCTGGCTTCCACTAGAGGACTGCCTGCAGAGGGTCCTGAAGGGGAGGGCTGGGGGGTCAGTGCAGAGTCCTGAGGTCACCGCGGGTACCAGACTTCACTCCCATCTAAGTACTAGGCTGGCCCTTGTGCTGGTAACAAGCGCTGACCCACCCAGTGCAGTGAGCTCTACCTGGCTCTCAGGGGGCCTGAACACACCTTTCCTAAGAGAGTGGCTGAAATGCCAGGCTGGGTGGTCTCCCCATAGGCACTGGTCAGTCCTGGCCAGCCCCGGTTACCTCAAGCTGGGGCAGGAAGGTATGGATGGAGGGCAGGTCCGGCAGGCTGGCGGTGACGTCCAGGAGCCTCTGGGCCAGGGCCCTCCACAGCTGCAGGTCCTGCAGGGGCCGCTGGAAGCGCTGCCACAGCTCCACCTCCGCGCCGTTGCGTAGCCTGGTGGTCTTGCCCTTCATGCTGCCAGGAGCCGGTAGGGGAGAGCCAAGAGGAGGGAGGGAGGGGTCAGTCCAGGAGGGAGGTCTCTCTGCCTGGATCCCCTGGCTCTACTCCCAGGGTGGGTGCCCTCCCACCCCACAAGCAGAAGAGGTGTCTGCGGAATCTCGGAGCCCCGTGCTCTCCATGTAAAAGTGCACAGGAAAAAGCCTGTCCTCAAACAGACTTGCAGCCCAGCTTCGTGAGCAGAAACCTCAAGCCTTGACAAGGAACGCCGGAGACTCCAGCTGGCCTGCCCCGGGCACTTAGTAAAGCCTTTCTCGAGGAAGATGCCGCTATCCTAGGCCCAGACTGTTTATATGATAACTTCAAATACGACGTCCAGCACCCTGTCGTGAATAACCAGCTCGTGACGCTGCAGCTCGAGAAGGTGGAGGGAGAGGGAGGCCTGCTTTGGACACTGGCTTCTCAAGCACCCCATGGGGACACAGCCCCTGCTTTGACGGGGCCCGGGCATGCCCTGGGGGAGAGACACGGCAAGTAGGGGGCTCCTTCAGTTCACTCTGGAAGAACCCCACTCAAGTGGAGGGACAAGGGCCCCAGGGCTGCTGGACTTCCGTGCTGTGTTCAGAGCATCTGAGGCTCATGGGGCAAAACAGGCACTGGTTCCAAATCTCCTCTGCTCAGTCCCACACGGGGTGGCTATTTGCTCTTCGGGTCTTTGCCAAGCTAGAAACGGGAGACCCCGTGGTGACTGAGCCTATGGGTGCCGAGAGCAGGGGTTGGTCTGAGGCGAGGCCAAGAGGCCTGGATCAGCACCACCAGCAGGCAGGGGAGTGGCTGCCCTGTTACTAAGCCGCATGAAAGGCTTGGTGGAAATGGGCTCATGAGCAGCTCAGCGTGCAGAAGACAAAGTCCAGGCATCTTTCTAGGGACAAAATTGTAAAACCCTGTCAGGGAGGGACAGTCCTGAGCCCAGTCAGGCCTTGAAACAGCCCGTGGCTGAGAGGGGCAAGTTATTGAAGGGGTCTCCGTGCAGGAGAGGTAAGCCTCCTCCTGGAGACTGGCATGAGGTGGGGTGAGGAGGCCCCATAGTGGGGGCTGGGTGCGCCCTGGGCTGCCTGCCGGCCTGCATGGGTACCTCTGGTACTCCTGGATGGCTGCCACAAGGCTGTCGGAGAGCTGTTGCAGGTCATTGGGGAAGACCATGAGCTCCTTCAGCTGGGCCTGCAGCCTGTCCACCCGGGGCTCCTCGGCTGCCAGTGCCGCCCTGTTCACCTGCAGCACACAGAGCACCCCAGAGGGCAGATGAGGTTGGGAGGAAGCATATGTGAATAGGGCGGGGGGGGGGGGGCATTGGGCTGCCTGGGAGGAAACCACCACTGAGGGCAGGGACAGGCCCTCCCCTGAGCTCAGACCTTGCCAGCCTGCCCCGAAGCCCCTTTGGGACCCCAAACCAGTGATGGTAAGTATGAGACAACAGTGCAGACAACAGTGTTTAGGGAGCCTGACTCCATGCAGTGCACTCGGGGGACCCCATTCATTTAATGACCCCGGAAGTCACCGAGCACCCCTGAAATGTTCCACCCCACTGTGTTCTGACACTCGGGTCTTTTCCTGCCGTCCTGGGAGTTTGACGGACCTTGGCCCTGGTGGGGAGCATGGTCGGTAGGAGGGAAGGTGCAGATGCCAGCAAGGAAACCCACCTCTACACCCCCTGCCAGCACACACCTGGGCTGTTGTCTTCTGGGTAAAACGGGGCCACTCCCACTGGACAAGAGACCGAACACAGAACAGGTGGACCCCAGGTTCCTAGGAGGCAGCTGTGCTACTGCTCAGACCCCCCCCACTCACAGGGACCAGGGGATCTGGCTCAGATCCAGGTGCACCCCACCCAGATGAACAGGGAGCAAGGTGAAATAGGGGGTTCCAGGCAGTGGTTAAGGGCAGGGGAGACCATTGTGTACAGTCGGCCAGTGAGCTCTGCCTGTCCTCAGAACTATTTCTGTCCACACTCAATTACTAAGCAAATGTCAGGAAATCTACACATATTTTCACAGAAGACAAAGACACACCAAATGCCTTTGTTAGACACAATTGGGTGAAATGGGCATCTCCAAACCAGGCCTGAAGTCCTGAACCTCAGAGCCCAGGAAAGCAGGCTCAGGGCATCTCAACTCATTCCAGGCCCCCTGCCCTGCTCTATGGGGAGGGTCCTGGGACTGCGGGAGGTGAGATCAGTGGGAGATCACATAGGAGCGCCTGTGTCGCCTTCCTGGTCTGTACCTCTCGCTGTGCTGACTTTCTAAAACTGGGAGCCGGCGCTGGCACAGAGGTTAGAGGCAGCACTCTTGAATCAGACTGCCTAGGTTCAAGTTCAAGTCCCTGCTACCACCTGCAGGAGTGGAGACAAGCCCTCGTTGCTCTAGAGCCTGGCTTCCTCATCTGTAAAAGGGGACAGTGACAGTGCCACCATGCAGGGCCATGGCACTCAGAGCGGCATGTGCTGGGAAGACAGCGACCTCACTTCACCAACAACCTCCAAGATGAACTTGTCCCTCACAGAACCCTTCTTACTGCCTGCTGACAGCTGAGACCCTGACGCAAGCTGCTTCCCCGAAGTTTGCCTGTTTCTCAGAAGAGAGGAAACAGTCCTGATTTTGTCCAGATGTCCTACAAGACAGCTGGGATAACCACACTGTTCCCCAAGCTGTTGCCCTGCCTGAAGCCACACCTGCCTTGTCCCCGGACACCCCACTACTTGGGGGTGGGAGTGGAGGCTGGGTTGGAGCAAGTCAGGTGTGTCTGCTCTTTGCCCCAAACAGTAGCCATGTGAATCCTGTTTAAGAACAAAAGTCATTAGTAATAAATTCCGAAATTCCCTTGCATTGATTTCCAGTTAGTCACGACTTGCTCATAATTGATGTGACACCTGAGTTGGGTGGGGCAGGGATATGGACACCACCCACCTCGGGAAAGGCTGACACGCAGCTGGGCACTGGTGGAGCCAAGGCTCAATGGTTAACTTGCCCACAGACATTAAAGCACAAAAGGAAAAAAACCTGATCTAACTTCCACTTTCAGGTTTGCTTTCACAGACACACCAGAGGCGGGACCTTATCAACATGACAGGACTGAGCACTTGCAGAAGCAATAAACCACGTCCACCATCGGACAAGGGAATGACAAACCTGGCACCAGTCCACTGCAGGTCTTTTTCACCCACCAGCTCATCGTGTGACCCTGGGGATGCTGGACAAATATCTCTCTAGGCTATAAGCCCCGCATCCAGAAAATGGGGATAAACACCCAACTCGTCTACGATACTCAGAGGACTTAGATGACCAAAGACCCAGGAAGACCAGAGTGAGTGTAAAAGGTTAGCAGGGCTCTCCCACCTGGCACAGGAGCTTCAAGTAGCGATGCCAAGGCCAGCCCTGGACAGCCCTGGTCAAACATCACTTACCGAGTAGCGCCTCCAGCGGGCCACCAGCTCGTCCTCGGACGCTGCCTTGGCTGTGGGCTCCAGGCCCTCCTCAGCCAGCTTCTGTAGGTCCTTCTTGAACTCTGCCAGCTCAGCCTCCAGCTGCCGGACCTGCAGCTCCCGGGCCCCTTCGGACTTGGGCAGGCTCCGCAGCTGCCCCTGCTCCTCTTCCCAGAGGACTCGCAGCTTCTCCAGAATTTTCCGCATCTCTTCCAGTTCTACAGTGATCTTCTCTGCACCCAAGGGAGAGGTGTTCTGGATAACCCCTGCAGCCTGCTCCTCCAGCCTCTTCAAAGAGTCCTCAGACCTGCTGAAATCTTTGGCCATGTCCTAATGGGTCGGGAGGTGGAAGGAAACAACATTTGCTGCATTTTCCACGGTCCCCGGGAAAGGCAGATGAAACAGAAATTCCTGTATTCCCAGGGGGAGCCAGAGGCACCCGTCCAAGCAGGGAGCCGTCTGCCTCCATAGCAGTGACTCGAAGCCCGAGAACGGTAGCCCTTGCCAAGGTGTTTAATTAGGTCAAGGAGAAAGTCTCCCGATGGTTCCATAGGGTTTCTTATATGAACTTGTATGGCTACCTAGCAAGTCTGAATAGGCACTGGCTTTCTGTTGATGACCTTGACAGTTTTCTTTTTATATACAAGTTCATTGTTTTTTCATTTTTACGTCAGCCCCTTTAAATGTTTTCTTTGAGAAGGCTTTCAAATAGTTTTGGATTTGTATTGAAGTGTAATTTACATGGAGCAGTTACACGGATCTTAATGGCTACCATTCAAGAGTTTTGACCATCGCCATGCCCATGTATCCACACCGTTATCAAAATAAAGGACAGTGCTAACATCCCAGAAGATTCTAGAACTGCACATAGTGGCATAGACTCTGTTGTCCTTTGAAAGTGGCTTCTTTCATTCGACATACTGTGTTTTAGGTTTCCCATGCTGCGGTCACACAGTAGCAGCTCATCCCTTTTTATTGTGAGTATTCCTTCATATCCAGAGTCTGTTCCACAGTGGGTCTATCCAATGCTCTGCTGATCAAAATCTGCATTTTTTTTTATCAGTTTGGGGCTATTGTGAATAAGGCAGCTGTGAACATTTTTATACAAGTCATAGCAGATATCTTTTTGTTCACTGTTCATGGTTTATTTTTGAAAGGTGAGTTAATTCAAATGAACATACTAAAGAAATGTACAGGCGCTGTGTAGCGCTTCCAAAAAATATAAAGTGGTCCTTGAATTATTGAAGAAGATGATGTACCACTGACTTTACAGAGAGACTCAGAAGCCCAGTTTAGGTCACAGCCAGTCCTTCCTGGCCAGGGTGTACCCCGCCTCTCCCGACGGCAGGCCACCATCCCTCACGCTAGGCACTTCTGATGTTGAGGTTGGGGGTGCTGGGCACCCTACAATATTGAGCAGTATCTCTGGTCTCCATCCACTAGATGCCAGAAACCCCCCCATTTCCAGTGTGACACCAAATGTCTCCAGACATTGCCAAATGACCCCATCTGAGGTCCAGTATCTAGACCCCCCTGCTGTGGCCTCGGGTTTCCAAATGCCCCTATGGCTCAGAGACACCACCAAGCGGCCAAGGCCCCAACCAGTTTGAGCTTGAGCCCAAGCGGCTCCTCACGTGGGGTCTGCATCGTGGATGTTGGTATCATCCTATTAGATCAACTGGGACTCAGAAGTGCCACCCATGGCCAAGGGTGGAGACTCAGGGGGTTACCTGTAGTGCAGAGAGACGGTGCTCCGCGGTCAGCGTACACTTCCGCCCCAGGCAGCTGTTCACCTTGTCCACCACCGCCTTCAGCCACAGCTGGAAGTCGTCCACGCGGGTCTGGAAATGCTCGTGCTCCTGGGCCACCTGCTCCAGCAGCGCCACCCTCTCCTGTGGGAGTGGAGGGGAGTCAATAGCCATGAGGGCTCTCCCAGCCTTCGAGGCTTTTCTCTGTGTGTGCATGCATGTGCTTGTGTGTGCATGAGTGTGTGTGTGTGCATGAGTGTGTGTGTGTGCATGGGTGTGCACGGGTGCATGTGTAGCATGTGTGTTTGTGAAGGAGGTAGAGGATCCAGTCACCCACCCTTTCACTGGAGACAAGAATCCCACTTTTCTCTGCCTTATTAGCAATAACCCAAGAGGCTCTTGGCTGTGGAGACCAGAGTACATCAGCGCTTAGCCTGCCAGCGCTACAGCTGGCACCTCCTCTCCCGCCATGTCCTCAAAAGGGCGCTCAAGACAGGGTGTGGACACCGGGACACAGCACCATGACTGCGAGTGCTGGGAGGTGCTACAAATGTCATGTGACTGCACCTCATCAAACATTCCTGGCCAGTCCCCAGGTGGTGCCACTACTATCCCAGGGCGATGGGCAAGGAAGCTGAGGTACAAAGAGGTAAAGTGACCTGCCTAGTGTCACTAGACTAAAAGAATACTGAGAGCAGAGACTAAGGACAGCAGGTGTGCTCCAGTCCTGGGGTCGACAAGGTGCCCTACCCGCTTCCTCACGGGCATGGCGATGCCATCTGCATGGGTTGAGATTATCTCTTTTCACACAATCCCACTGACTTGCTACCCACACAGGGACAAGAGGGTGTTCCTGAGGGTGGCTGTCACTGGGGAATTAATGGTGTTCTTGCTATAAGATCTACTGTGTGCCTACACTCTGATTTGCAAAACACACTATGATACGGCACCATTTCTTTAAACCCCCCACGGCTCCCCACTACCCCCAGGCTCTAGACCGAATCTCGCAGCCTGGAAGTCAAGGGCAGGACCCACGATGCAGGTCTGTGGCCCAGTGGACAAGACCTGGGCTTGGGAGCCCAGTGCTTGTGACTTGAACCCTGGCTCACCTCAGGCACCTAATTCACCCCTCTGCTCCACAGGCTCCCCAGTTGTCTGGTGTGGTCAAGGCAGAACCCACCTCATTGGGGTACAGAGGGGCTGGAATGTCACCCCACCTCCTGGACAATGCAGGACCACTGATGAGCACTTGAGAACAGTCATTGTTCACTGTCACCTGCTCTCCAGGGCACTCTTGTCACACCCAGCCCTGCCCACCTAGCCTCGCTGGCTCAGGACTCACCTCCTCTGGCTGAATTAATGGCTCTGGGATGGCACTGCTACCCGCTGGGGCAACCTACAAACTGCCTGCCCTGGTGCATCTCCCAGGAATGTTGAAAGGGGAAGGAGGGACTTCTACTTACTAAGCACCTACTATGTGCCTGGGACCTGACAAGATCTCACAGCAACTAGTTCATCTTCACAGCAACTACCTAGTTCATCTTCACAGTTCATCTAGTTCATCTTCACAGCAACTACCAGGCCTCCCTTACAAAAATGACCACACTGATGCTGGGAGGCCACTCAGCTCCTGTGAGGGCTGACAGACAAGATTTAAGCAGCAAAAGTCAGAGGTCAAGATCGCTACTCTAGGCCATGGGCAGCAGGCTGTTTCCATCACGCAGTGGACGTTTCGGCCTGGCCTGCCATGTGGTTTCTGTGCAACGACTCAGCCATTTATGTGTTACATAGGTTGCAGCACCCGAGCAGCCATGGACAAACACGCCAAGAAAACACAGGTAACCAAGAAAATGAATCACGGGCAGTAACACTTGAATTTTATAGCATTCTCTTGTGGCATGAAAAACTGCTTTTCACACCCCCTCCCAATAATTAAAAATGTTAAAAACCATTTTAACAGGCTACACAAGATCAAGCGGTGGGCTGGGCAGACTGCAGGCCCTCACTTGCTGGCCTCAGCGGTCAGCCACAGAGCCACCACATCCCAGAACTGCCCTGGCTGTCTAGAAGCTAAGTCAATGGTTCTCAAAGGGGCAGGGTCGACAGATGGGGGATGTTTGGATCTGCCCCCCTGCCCTGGAGAAGCTCTTCACAAATCCAGAAATGCTAACTCACTTGAACCTTTGCAACCACCACCGCAAGTAGGAGAAAATAGTCCCATTTTAGAGATGGGGAAATCAAGGCACAGGAGCGGGTCCTTTGGTGAGGACCAAGGACTCTTCCCACTTTGGGGACTAAGGCTTCGCCAGCCATGCCGGGCAGCTGGGAAACACGGGCCACTTGACTCTGAAAGTGAACCGGGAGGCAGAAACTGTCTCCTTCTTGCTGCCCTTGCTGGCTCCCTTCCCTTGGGATTATCTGCATCCATCAAAACCCTCCCAGGAAAAGCCCATTTATGAAGCACAGTGCGTCAGGAATAGCAAGCAGAGTAAATGCCATGTGGACACTGATGGTGATAAACATTGTAGTGAAGCGGATTCTTCAATGAGGTGCCTGGGGTTGGGGTGGCTCTTTGCGTGTGAGTAATGAGGTGTCTGCACGAGGGGAAATCCAGAGTAAATAAAAGCCTCGTGATGGGAGCAGACGCTGCGAGGAATGCAGCCAAGCAGGGCAGGCATCCAGCTGAGCTCCGTGCCAGGCCTGAGGGTCACGGAGCACAATTCAGCCGCAGCCGCGCCGGCCACGTCTGGGGGAGACCAGGGTGACAAATGGGAGGGCGCTCAACCTTCTCCTTGGACCAAACAATGAAGCCATCTCCGGCGGGCAGGGCTGTCAGGAATGTCAAAATCTGACCGATTAACAGGGCCCGGGACTGATGCTTCTGCAGAGGCTGCGGGGAGTGCCGGTGTGATAGCCACAGCCAGGCCAGCTGCCTCGTCCCAGGGCAGCCTCAGGATGCAGGGACGGGGAGCTACTATTTGCTGGCCCTTCAGAAAACGGAATCAGGGGATTAAGAACAATCAAACCAAATAAACAAGCAGGACCGCTGGCAGCCGACCAGCTGCTGCTCAGACTTCCCATGCTTCATCTGGCATGCGCGGTGCTGGCCCTGGCTGGCAGTTGTGCTGGTAAGACTCTCCTCCAGGGGGTGGTTATGAAAACCACATTCCAGAGGCGCCCCCACCTGCCCCAGAGCTTCTGTGGCCCCATCAATACCGGGGGGTTGCCCACTAACATATCAGAAGTCAAGATGGAGTTTCCTAGGTGATGACACTGGTCTGTTAACTAGCAGGAAAAGTGATGACGGGGCCCTCATTGTTGAAAGGCAAGTGTGGATCCATAACATCTGCTACAGTCTGAAATGTGCCCACCCCCCAATCTGCATGCTGAGGCCCTAAGCTCCAATTTGATGGTATTTGGAGGTGGTACCTGTGGAAGGCGATTATGGTCACCTGAGGTCACAGGAGGGAAGTCGGGTGAAATGAACCTCACTTCCATCAGTTTGTCAACTCATGCGTACTGGGCACCCCATGTGTGCTCAGCACTGGGTGCGTGGACGGTGGGTAATGGGGCAGTGGGTGGGTAGAGGGTGCAAGGTAGGTGGGCGTGGAAGGATAGGGAGACAGCTAGGTGGCAGATTGGTGGGCAGGTAGTTAGGTGGCGGGAGCTGGAGGGTGAGTGAAAAGGTGGCTGACAGGTAGCAAAAGAGCAAGTAGGTGGGTGGGATGACAGGCAGTGGAGAGCGATGGGTCTTACCACATGCTCAGGGCTTTGGGTGCATCACCTGCACCATCATCTGTATGTATCTGTATGATGATATAGATAAGTGGCATCTAATAAATTCAATCCCATAATTAAAAAGCATAGAAATGGATGAGCAGGGCCTCCCTGGAAGCACAAGGGATTAAGCGTCAGCCCTATGAAGCAACCCGCAGCTGCTGCAACATGAGTTCGACCCCCTGCCAGGGAGCTACCCACATGGCACAGCAGACCTCTCTTGTCTCACCCGCTGCTCCCCTCAGCAGTGTGTTTCAGTCAGTCTGCCTGTTCTGCTCCCCACGCTATCTCTAATGAATCCTCTCACCTCCCGCCCCCACACCTCTGGCCTATACCCCAGTTCTTGTATGCATAAATAAATAAATCTTTAAAAAAAAAAGAAATGGAGGAGCAAATGGGTGGGTGAAAGGTGGGTGGACCACCGAGTAGGTGGGTGGATGTCGGGGAGAGGAAGGGGTTGTGGGAGGACAGGAGCTGGGTTAGTCGGTGGGAAGGCGGACGAGCGAGGACACGGGACAGGAGGGGCAGGCGGCTGAGTAGGGAAGTGGGGGGGGCTGGGAAGGCGTGGAGATGTGGTGGGTCAGCGGGTGACAGAGGAGCAGTGACCGACAGCTAGTTAGGAAGGTGGCGATGGGTGGGTGGGCGTGTGAGTGGCTGTCACGGGAGGCCAGGCGATGAGTGGGTGGAGATGCTTAGAGAGCAGGCGCGTGGCGGGTGGCCGCTGGGGTGAATAATGCTGATGGGAGCAGACGGAGCCCACGGCGCCGCTCACCTGGGCTTTCGTCTTCACGGCGTGGTACTCGGCCTTCATCCTCTTCTGCGCGTCTTCGTCCACACTGGGGTCCCCGATCCTGTTGAAGAGGGAGGCCGCCTCCTCCAGCAGCCGGTCTAGGAGCACCGCCTGGTGGTGCACGTTCTGCAGCAGCACCTGGGCGTGGCTCAGCTGCCACTGCTTTTCCTTCAGGCCCAGCTGCAGCTCCACGGGGGGCTCCAGTAACACCAGCATCTTCTGGAACCAGCGGTAGAACTCATCCTGGGCCAGCAGGTATTCGCTCCAGTGCAGCCACACCCACTCGATGCGGCTGTGGGCAGAGACCTGGCGTGAGGAACCCGTCTGCCCAGCCCCAGGGCAGGGAAGCCGCTCCAGGCTTCCCTGGAAGCCTGGAAGCCACACCCCTCCCCAGGACTAGGGGGCTGTAGGTGGGGGCACAGTGATGCCCTCTTGTGGCCTTGGTCCCCCAGGAAGCTTGTTGACCCTCAGGATTGGCGGCCCAGCCTCAGTCCTTCCAGACAAGCCCCCTCTGACCAGTAGACCTGCTCCCTGGGCTGGCGCTGAGGATCAGGGTGGCTCAGATCTAAGAACTACCAGCTCTCCTGACACATCTTGGGGATCTCTTAGCCCACAGCACCCCACATTCTGACCCCAGACTCCCATAATCGATAGTCACCCCCAGTTGTTTCTCTCTGGGGTTGACTCCACAGGGTGAGCTGGGCTCTGACCCCACATGGCCCACAGAACAAGGGGTCAGAGGGGGAGCGTGCTAATGATGGCATCTGTAGGCTCATCACAGCTCAGAGGGGGCAGAAGGCTGGGCACTGGCCACGGTCCAGACGCCGGAGTCCGGGATAAGCAAAGCTGGTGTGGTTTGAGATGGGAGCACAGATGGCTGTGTTTGGGTTTCAGGGGTGCTGTGAACTTACTGGTAATCCTGCCTCCTCCTGTGCCTCAGTTTCCCCATATGTAACGTGGAGATGGCCCTATCTGGCCGGCCAACATAAGCACCTTTGTTTGGGATTCCAAGTTAGAAGGGGCTAGAAGAACAGAAATCACTGCAAAGTCTCCTGGTCCACTCAGCATCCCAGTTTCATAAGGATGGAGAGGATGCTGGCAGCTCCTACTTACTGAGGGCCCTCTGTGTGCCAAGCACTGTGCCTTGCTCTTGACGTGCCCTAGTTCCTCCCACCCTCCCCAAGTCTTCAAAAGGCCCTTGATTATATCACTGTCCGGAGGGGGAGCCTGAGGCTCACTTATCCCAGGGTGCACTGCAGAACAAGAGGCACTCCCAGGCTGCCCCCCCAGCCCCACCTGCTCCCCTGGTGCCAGCAGAGAATCTAGGCCAAACTGCTAGCAAGGCAGCAGCCGTCTTACTCCAGGACGGCTCTGTCATCCTGCTGGCGGATGCACACAGGCAAGGCCATTAGGATTAATTGTTGGCAAAACATGATGAGCTATTATCTATTATTAAGCTTGATTATGATTAGAAAGAGGCAGGCAGGGCTGGCCCAGCTCCCAAGAGAACATCCTGTTCCCAGCAGCCCTAGGACTGGAGAACCGTCCCTCAGGTAGAGGCTGCAGCCAGGAGGGGTGGGCACGGAGGGTCAGTGGCAGTGTGAGCAAGGCCTGGCAAGGGGCCTACCTGTGGCAATGAGTCATGTAGGTGACCGTCTCCTCCCACTGGGCCTTGATGTCCCTCAGCCGGGCCAGAATCTCGGGCCTCTGGAGGTCGTTGCAGCTCAGCAGGAGAACCTCGGCTGCCCGCAGCACCAGGTCCACCTTTACTCGCCCCTCGGGCTCCAGCTGGCATATTTTCTGTTGTGGGCACAAAAGCCAATTCCAGGGATTAGGCAAAATGCAAACAGGCACGGCCTTGGGAAGACAGGCGGGATGGGCAGGACTGGGACTGAGCCTGGAGGCACTGGGTTCTAATCTCAGCTCCGGTGCGCCCTTCCCCTGTGACCTTGGGCCGCCTGCTGCAGCTCCGGGAGGGAAGCTGGGGGCAGTGGCCGTTGGCACGGAACCGCTGGGCTCTGATGATCCAAGTTCCCTCCCTTCCCCACTTGGCCCCTTTCCAGTTGTGTGAACTGAGACAACTTTCATCGTGTCCACTTGATTGTCTCATCTGTAAAATGGGGGTATTGCTAGTGCCTGGCTCTCTCATTTTTTTCAGGTTTAAATGAGAAAATGCACACGAAGTGAGCATCAGTGTATCGGGCTGTGGGAATCTGCCCCTCAGGTGGACTGCAGGAGCAGCCCGACCCAGCCCCAGGGGCGGCTCCACCACTCCCCCGAGGGTGAGGTTGCACCAGGTCCTCACGCCCCAGCTGCCCTACCAGCGAGCACGCGGGACACCAGGGTGGGCCGCTCCTGGGAGGCAGCAAGCTCCCCTGACAGGTGACGGCTCAGGAAGCCCATGTTGGCCTCGCAGAGTCGCCGGAGAACCACAGGGCAGCCTGAGCAACAACCGGCTCTCCTGGGCTTGTGGGTCTGCCTCATCCCGCCCGGCCTGGCGGGCACTCCCCTCCACTCCCCTTCTCCCGGTCCGTGGATGTTTCCCTACTGACACCTTGCACATATGCTCTCATCTTGGTGTTCACTCATCTTGGTGTTCACTTCTGGGAGGACCAAGCCCCACAAAGTCATGCCTCGCAACTGAGCTCCCCAGAGCACGTTCTCTACAATGGCAAGTTTGAGGCCACCCTGTGCCCGGCAGCTCCATGGAGCCATTGTCCAGCAGCGGCCGCTCACCTCCCATCCCGTTTCCCAGCAACGAAGGCCTGCGCACGGGCTCCCTAGTCGTGGTGCCATTGCACACCAGCCACAGCAGAGTGCAAATGTACCTCTCTACACCCCGAGAAACCTGGACATTCCCAGCTACTGCAGGATTTGCCTTATCAGCTGGAACCAAACCCGCAGTATCTCCAGTGTCTGCACCCGGTGCCTCTGACGTCAGCCAGCGTCATTATTTTTATCTTTCCAACGCTTTGGCAACCGAAGCTTGGTCTCTGTAGTCAGACAGGATTAGATTCCAATTCCAAGGCCACCACCTACTCCCTAGGCGGGGTGGCAGGGGTGACCTGGGGTCACGGTGAGCATGGGGTGCTGCAGCTTGCTCACAGCAGTCTCCCCATTGTTATTACCAAATGGCACGTACCTTCCCACCTGCCTTTACCCCCAAGCCACATCTGCCGGAAGCACCAGCTCTGTTCTCCCTGGGGGCAGGCGGTCAGTTCCATCATACCCACTCGCCCATCCCCATGGGCTGCCTGTTCCTGACCCTTCTCGGTGGGTGCAGGAGAGGGGCCCCTGGCTGCCCCAGTGAATGCTGTGCAAGGTGAACTAGGAGGAGGGCAGTGAGCTGGTGGCCTCCCTGCCCGAGAGAGCAGAGCTGGCCAATTCCTAAGGCAGTAGCCCAAGCCCTGCTAGCCCTGAAGCAGAAACACCTAAACGCTGTTGGCAATGCTGGGGCCGGGGCAGAGACTGTGGCTAAATGAAGCCAACCTCAGAGAAATCGGCCCAGCCCTGCACTCCTGCCCCAGTGACTGGGTTCTTAGGCAGGCACAGGCTCCTCTCTAAGCCACCATAGCAAGGACGCAGCCCAGAGTGCACGCCAGGGACCCGAGCCAGCAGGAAGGGTGTCTGACCCGCAGTCACAGGAGGTTCCCACAGGAAGGGCCAGTGGAGCCATTCAGGGGGGCGGAGAGAGGGAGAGCTGGGGGAACCGGACAGGACAGCTGGAGCAATGGGGTTAGTCAGGACCTTCCCTCCAGGCAGCCAAATCAGGTGATGCTGTGCTGGGTGCTGTGCTGGGTACTGTGTTAGGTAGTTGTTAGATAATATACTGGGCACTATGCTGGGTGCTGTGCTGAGTACTGAACTGGGTGCTGTGCTTTGTACTGAACTGGGTACAGTGCTGGGCACCATGCTCAGTACTGTGCTAGGTACTAAACTGAATACGGTGCTAGGATTTTGCTGGACCTTGGAGTCGGGGATAAACAAACGTGACTCAGTGCTTAAGGGGGGTTGTGGCCACAGAGCACAGATGACTGTGACAGGAGCCAAGAGACCACAAAATATTTGGGAGTTCCCAGGAGGGGGTGTGGGGAAATCCAGAAAGGCTTGGTGAGTGGGTAGCGCTGGCCCAGAGCCCTCGAGATGTGCAGACACTGCAATGCGGGTTTGGGCATGAGCTTAGGGACCGTGCATCCCACATCTGAAGCCAGGCCCAAGGAAACGGGGCCAGGACCTGCCACAAAGGGGCCTGGATGGGTGAGGCAGCACCTGGCTGAGACCAGGTACCCTGTGCAGGGCAGGGGCAGCTGGCACCAGGGGGCAAAGAAAGAAGGTACTGGGGCCCTTGAGGCCAGCCCCGGGGCTCGGGCTGAGGCAGGGATGGTAGACGTGTAGACAGGGCTGCACTGAAACCCACCAGGAGCCTCCCCCACAGGCCGACTCTGCCAGGTGCCGGGTGCTGGGCCAAGCACGTCCCACCAGGTCACCTCGGTCGCCCCTCCCTCCCGCACAGAGGCAGCTGTCACTTTCTCCTGCGCCAGCTGAAGCTCAGGGAACTGCAGAAACTCTCTCAAGCTGCCGCGGCCATAGGGAAAATCTGAACCCACCCCAAGCTCTCAACCTGAGTCCTGCTTCCTGGAAGCAGTCTCCTTCACAGGGGCCCCTACCTGCAGGACCTCAGCACCCCGGGGTGAAGAGGTTCTTCCGGCACTTGACAGAGAAATGTGGTGCCCAGAGGCCACACAGCGGGCAAGCGAGTGAACCGGATGGGAACACACATCCCCGTCTCTAGCAAACAGGCATCTGGGCGCATGTCCTGAACTGGGGGAGGGGCCCTCTGGACCCTGGGGGCCCCTCCCAGCAGGCAGGGGAGGAGGCACTAGCTGCCCCCTTCCACCCGCCCGCCCTGGCAGACATCTGTCTCATTGCAAATTGGCGTTGACAGGTCAAAGCACAAATCGTGCCTGAGCTGGGGAAAGGACAATAGTGGGGCCCCCAGGACACGACTTCCCCTCCCCAGGCTCCAGGTCAAGCCCTGGGCGGGCTCACCTGATGGTAGTCTCCCTCCCCCTGAGGCCCTCCCTTGACTTGGCGTAAGCTGGCTCACCACAGGGGTGCTGGCCAGCCAGCTAAGGGCGCAAGGCCTTAAGGGCTTAGCACCCTAAGACAGCGAGTACAGTAGCCGCCCTGTGGTGTCCACAGGAGCTGGGCTGGAGGAGGGAGCTCAGGAGAGACTCCCGGACAAAGGGGCCTTTCATTTCACAGGCACAGCCAGACCCAAGGGCAACCAAGGCAGGCCACGCACAGCCAAGTCTCAGTGAGGGCTCGGGGGTTCCTGCCAGCTGGAAAACAGGGTTGTGTAGATAGAGGTAGATTTTTGAAGCCTGGTAAAGTGTGATTCTCTCTGGCGGGCAGTGGGGGGCCATGGAAGGTTTCAGGGGAGGACCGCATCCGCTTCAGGCCCGTGTCAGGGATGTTCCTCTCGTGTCCGGGAGGCTGCTTGGATTAGTTTCGTTCCATCTTCCACACTCCATGAGCCCGGTGTCGGATGGACCTCACCGCCGCTGCCGCCCAGCCCCACACAGCCATGGACAGCGACCCTCTGGACTCGGCACTGTGGCCCAGCCCCGGCCAGGTCGGTTTCTTGAGTTTAGGTCCATCATTGTCTCTAGAAATCAGTTTCATTATTGAAAATCAGGGGTATTAAACCCACCTTCCCAGGCTGTTATGAAATTAACCAGGGGGCTTCCAGCCCATAATCGGTCAGTGGAATCACCACTATTAGTGGGCCAGGGAGGGCGTGGGTGGCACCCTGCCAGAGACCTGCCTGGCATGGGAGCGGTGGGGAGAAGTGACTCCAAGTGGGGGACCTCAGTTCCATTAGGGACAGGCCAATGAAGGGCTTTTCAGAGGGCAAAACACTGGTAGGGTGGGGGGAAGAGATGGGACAAGACTCAAGAAGGGGCTGGTGTCCTGCTTGCTCCGATCACTTATGTGGAACTTCACAGGTGGTGTGGGTCTCGCTCATTCCTGGGTGCCGTCCCTACTGAGTCAGCATTCTGAGGTCATTAGCATCACCCCAGGTTAGACAGGCAGTAAACTGAGGTCCTATAGGTTCAGTGACCTACAGGGAATCATGTGGCCAGCAAGAAGCAGAACAGGGACTTGAACTCAGGACATCCAGGCCCCACAGCTGCCCTCTCTCGAGTCCACTGAGCTGTTCAACTAAATAGGATTCCAGACACTAGAACACCCAGCCCAACTGTGCCAGGCACGATTTTACTGTGACTCTTATCTCCTAGAGGCACACCCCTGTAGGAAGCAGGAGGCAAAACACCTGCGATCCAGCATGTAGTGTCTTACCCAGAGACCTTTTCTACTTGGACAAGTCATGTGACCTCTCCAGGACTGTTTCCCCTTTTGACTCCTCTCTCGTCATGTTGCAGTGAAGCTTAAACCATTGGCCCTGAAAAGGTGGTATAAGTTCTTGTCCTTGTCCTTCCAGTCCCCGGGCAGGGGGCATTTGCGGGAAAGTGGGCATAGGTATGAATTCAATTATGGAGTATCCTGGTGGGTATGACCCCGAGACAGGGATACATCAACTGAGGCCCAGAGAGGGCAGGGCCGTGGCTGAGGTCACACATGGAGAGGATGGAGTCAGGCTTTTCCCATGACCCTCTGGCCTGGAGCAGATGCTCCCGCTGGGGTGCCTTGGTACCTGGCCAGGCACTGGGCACACACACTTCTGGTCAGTTTAGCATCTGCCATGTGCTACGTGGGGGTTAGAGTCAGGCCTGGAGAAGCCAGGGGTCACTCCTCTTAGGGGAGAGCCTCCTCCCCACCCACCCAGACCTGGCAGGGAAGCAGGAAGGGGTAGAGAACTTGGCCTGGGTCAGAGGAGCTGCCAGGACAGGAGGGCCAGACAGCACAGCCTCTTCCTGTGCCAGGATGGTCCCAGGATGGGCAGTGAGTGGTCACCTGGACTGCCACACGTGCCCCTCTCAAACCCACCCGACCTCCTGCAGAATCTGGGCTTAAAACATCCCCATGAGGGACCTCCCTGGTGGCAGAAGGGGTTGAGGGCAGTGCGGTGAAGCTGTCCGCAGCCTCTGCAGCACGAGTTCAATCCCTGGCCAGGGAGCTACCCACATGGCGCAGCAGACCTCTCCTGTCTCGCCCGCTGCTGCCCTCAGCAGTGTACTTCAGTCTATCTGCCTGTTCTGCTCCCCACTCTGTCTCTGGTGGATCCTCTCACCCCCCACACCTCTGGCCTGTACCCCAGTTCTTGTATGCATAAATAAATAAATCTTTAAAAACAAACAAACAAAAAAACATCCCCAGGAGATTCAAACACGTGGAGCTACACTGGTCTGGTCCAGTCCCGCCGTTTCACAGCGAGGAAGCCCAGAGTCTGAGAGGAGCAACACGGCCAAGACCCTGGGGTCGTGCCCCCCAGTGCCCGCCACCCCCATCTACCTCTGTCTCCCGAAGCCTGGCCTCCAGGGCAGCCCGGGGACCCTGGGTGTTGTCGTTGATCTGCAGCCGCTCCTGCACGGCCTTCATCCACTCCCGGGCCTCCTGCACGCTCCTGTCAAAGCCCTCCTGGGGCTGCTGCGTCATGGCACCTGCAGGGGCTGAAGGCAGGACACGTAAGCTCAGTGGGTGGGGACGCAAGGGCCAAGGAGGGGGCCCAGAGTGGGGAAGGGACAGGGACCAGCCTTCACCACCATCAACACCCCTGCTGGAGGTGGGCCTGATGGGGCTGATCACAGCCAAAGCATGGGGCTAGGGAAGAACAGGCTCTCGCCCCTGCCACCCAGCAGGGAGGCCCAGGGCATGCACACGGCCTCTCGGCTGCCCTGCTGCCCACTTCCCTACCCTGAGACTCAGGGCAGCTCTTCTGTCTCCTTCGAAGGAAGACCCTGAGACACTGTCTGAGATGTCTGAGGTCGCTTAGGAATCTTGACCTGAGTGGATCAGGCCCCCATCAAAGAAACATGACTTGGGCACCAATCTAGTGCCAAGGAATGCCAGCCTGGCACCTCCCCGAGATCATGGCTCGGGAGCACCAGGGACCTTGGCCCAATTTCTTCACCGATCGGGTCCACATCAGACATAATGTTCCCCACTAAGCCACCACCACTGACCTCCTGGCCACCCCAGACTACGACCTGGCACTGGAGAAGGCCCCCACTTGCTCCACCTACCTTAGGTGCTACCTGCGCCATACAGGTCTCTCGGCACCGTCCCCCTCCCCCAACCCTGACCTGGGGAGCCGAGTCTCAGCGCCCCTCAACCCTTCTCTATTCCAGTTCTGGTTGTCTGCTGGGAGCACATCACCTCCTTTGGATTAGTTATTTCCATCTGCATCTTCTGGGCAGGGATAGTGCCGGTTGATCCCACCGGGGCCCATAATGCCTTGCACGGAGGAAGCCTTCCTCAGAGGTTACAGAAATAATCCAGAAATGGTATAAAGCTTAACACACTCCAAACCGACCACAGCATCAGTTAAAAAGGCAACCAAACTGAAGTGGAAACCACCTAAGTGCCCACTCAGAGGGGACTAGTTAAGGACTAGGGTGCACGTGCACCTTAGAATATGACGTAGCCAGCAAAAAGCATGCTTCTGTGACTGCATGGACAGTCCCAGGCCGGAATGATAATACTAAAAATTGAGACAAATTACATAATGACTAAATCACGGAGTCATACTCTGCAAGAGATCACGCAAGCCAAAACAAAGAGTGCTCCTGGGGCAAGGCCAGGAAGCCCCGCCGTAGGCAGGCCACCCACGTGACTGAGTCAGAGCAAGGGGTGTGGGCAGAAGCCTTTAAGTTGCTCCCCACCCTTAGGGCATGGTCTTCCCAGGGGCCCTCACGCCTCTCCTCCTGGCATTGCGACTGGGAGGCCCCTTGGCCAAGGACAATTGTCTGTGGTTGGTGGTACTGAGGTTGGAAGGTTTTTTCCTCTGAGATGCTTTGTGAACCAAGGCAGGCGTTGCTTTCAAATAAAACAGCTTCTTAACATTGGCTGAATTGTTTACTGGCCCTTCTCAATCATCAGTTGTCTTTCAGCGGCGTGGGATGCAGATGCAGGCACCCTCCCTGGGCACCGCACTGGGCGGGCTCCCTGGAGGAGACGGGCATCAGCATTAGACACGCGGGCTGCTGTCCCGGGGCCGGGAGGGGAGACCCTGCGTGGGCTCTGCCTTGGGCCTGCGCCCGGCCTGTGCTCTCCCCTGGGGCCTGCGCCCCAGGTTCAAAGCTCAGTCTCCCAACATGTTGTTTTTCTTCAGAGCTGTTTTGATTTTTCTCTAACAACTTAATATGTTCCCCGCAGCCACGCCCTGTCTTTGAATGCTTAGTTTGAAAAGCGCAGGAGAATGCGCAGGCGTTTAAATTGGTTCATTGTGACTTTAATCTCTCGTCCAGTGTGTAGTGTGTGACTTGATTGGCTTCCAAAAGCTCAGCTTTTATTTTTATAAAGGGAAGAACGGGAGGGGCAGAAACGAGTCTCCCAGAGTTTCAGATGACACAGCAGCCTGGAAGCAGGCAGTGAGATTTTGGACATGCCTTCCATGGGATGGTCCAGGGCACCCGAGGCCTGGTGGTCTGGAGAACCCCAGGCACACAGAGTGGAACACAAGGTGGGGGGCGGGCTGGGCAGGGCCCGGGGCTCCGGCCCCATCAGCCTGGGCTGGGAGCCCTAACTAATCGTGGGCTTCGTGAGGCAGAGTTCTGGCCACAGGATCTCTCGGCCTATTCTGCAAACTATTTTTTCAATCCAGTGAAACACATAGGAATTCAGCACATGCTCCCTGCTAGCCTGGTGGACATGAGGAACGCAGCATGGAATGAGCAGGCCCGTCCCTTGCTCTGCAGAGACACTGCCCAGTTAACCCAGAGACGGGCTGTGGGGGCACTGAGGCCCCTGACCTGTGAGTCCTCGCAATAAAAGCATGAAGTGCTGAGAACAAGAGACAAAGAATTACAGACACCCATCATGTTAAAACACGATCATCAAAATCCTGACAATCACACTCACGAGCCGTGCGCACACGCGTTTCGCCCAGGCTCTAAGGAGGGGACCGAGCACCACGTCCTCCGAAGCAGCGACAGGAGTAGGTGACACTTCGAGACCTCCGCAGCTGCCCGGCGACCCCGGGGTGAAGTGACAGGGCTGCCGGCCCCACCCAGCCCAGGGAGCCCTGCTTCGGGTCTGCCTCGGGGGGCAAAAGGAACCACTGCTAGACGCAGCTCAGTCAGGTCAGGATGTAGCTCCCCACCCAGGTCCGTGGCTCCTGAATTCCAGCCGGAGTGCCCGTGAGTCCCCGAGCCCCCGGTGGGAAGCCCCTCTACATCTCCTCACTCCACGGGACGGCGAGCCTGTTACGCTACCCCTGCTTCAGAGTTTAAGAGGCAAAGAAGCAGCTCAAGCAGCCTCCTCACCGTGTCGCGGCCTCCTCCGGGCAGCCACGTCCCTCTGCTTCCCTGCTCAGATGGTGTCCCCTCCCCAGAGTGAGGCCACCTGATGGAAGTCCAGGGCACCTAGGGCAAAGGGCACACACAGCGCCCCCAAGGCCTGGGAGCAGGGGCAACTGGCCTCCTCCGCACCCCGGTGTGCCTGGCCAAGTCGTAAGTGCTCACTGATATCCAGGGTTGGAGTCCACCCCCCACGGAAATGACCGCTGGGCAGGAGCTAGGGAGCTTCCTAAGTAACCACGTACTGCTCAGGTGGAAAAGGGAGAACGAGCCCCAGACTTGGAGTCTGAACCTTTATCCTGAGCAAGTGCTTTTGTCTCTCTGGGCCTCAGTTTCCACACTGTGCGTGTGGAAGAGGTTCTCTTGGGGGGCCTCCAAGATGGTGGGTGGAGACAGCGCACCGCTGAGATCTCTGTGAGCCAGGCCTAGACTGGGCCAGGGGCCAGCCTCTGCCCTCAGACTGTCAGCCTGGTCTGGGCTCTGGCCCCCCCACTCCGTCCACAGAGCCCCTCCTCAACCAGCTCAGAGACCCCTGCTAGCACCGAGGCCCCTTGAAGGCAGGCCCAGGTGAGCACCCTGAGGGAAAGAGCCGGGGAAACTCTTACATCAGCAGGGCCATGTTATTTTGGTAAAGGGTCAGATAGGAAATATATTTAGGCTTTGCAGGTTACACACAGTCTCTGTGGCATCGTCTTTGTTTTTATTACCCTTTCAAAAATGCGAGAACTATTCTGGGCCCGCTGCTGTACCCAGACGGACCACTAGCAGAGTGGCCTCGGCCCTGTGGGCCAACCCGCTACACAGGGTCCAGGACAGTGCAGGCCATGTGGCCACCATGGCTGACCATTGGCTGAGCTACCCACAGTGTCCTGGGACTGGGCAGGTGCTGAGCCAGAAGGGCCTAGGGCTGGCCTGGGGGTGCAGCTGTGTGACAGCTGGCCAGTCACTTAACCTCTCTGGTCCTGAGCTCCCCACCTGGAGGGTGACAGGTGAGGCTGCACTGCAATAAGATACCACAGAGCAGGTGGCTTGTCCACAGCAGAAACGCACATCTCCCAGCCATGGCGGCCAGGAGTCCGAGATCCAGGTATGAGCAAGGGCAGGGCGGACTCTCTCATGCCATCCTCACAGGGCAGGAGGGTGGAGGACTCTGAGGATTCTCTTTTATAAGAGCACTGGTCCCACCCATGAGGGCTCCACTCACACCCTAATCTCCTCCCAAGGCAGCACCTCTCATGCCATCACATCAAGGCTAGGATTTCAGCGTGTGAAGTTGGCAGTGTGGAGACACAAACATTCACAGCATGGGCTTAACACCTAGATGTGATTACTGAAGAAACCCTCCTCCAAGCTGGCACACACCCCAACTTACTGCAGTTCCCTTTCACCCCAGGTGTCAGGTGGAGGGTTTTCTTTCCTTAGGAGGCTTCACCAGGTGGCAGGGCTGCCCCCAGGCCAGTTGTGGGGAAAGAACAGACAGCGCATGTATGCCTCTCGACAGCGGCTGTGCCAGCTGTTGGGCTCCATGTCCAGTGAGGGGGCCGGGATCACTGCAAGCTTTGAGAGCAGTGGGACACAACAGCCATGGGGCTACAGAATATGGGGTCCCACCTCTCCCGGGCGCACAGGCTGGGTGAGAGGCATTGCAAGCTGAGTGCTCACAGGGGGAGGCCCGTAGCACACTGGGGGCTGTGAGGGTGGCGCATTAGAGGGTGGGTTGGCAACAGAAGAAGCTGAGATACCCCCTGGGGTGAGTACCAGGCCAGATCAGAGCCCTACGAGCTCAGGCAATCAGAGGACAGCCTGGGGGCAATAAGAGGACAGCAGGGTGGGTGGGAGCTATTCCTGGGCTTCAGGCAGGTCACCCTGACTTGGTCGGGGTGGCTGGGGTGGGAGTCAGTGTAGATGAAGGCAGCTGTAGAAGGCCCAGCGTGACAGGTAAGGCTGTGGGGCAAGCTCAGCATACAGACCTCCTGGGAGGATGTGGAGACTCCTCAGCTTTGCAAGTGTTTTTCCTTCTTGGATTGGTGGAATGCCATAGAATTTAAAAATGGAACTGTGTATGTTCCAACCATTTTTGGGGGGAAAGAATGTCCTCAAGGGTGTAAAAAAAAAAAAGTTGTTTTCCTTTTCCAAGCCCCTTACTTGGGACA